AGTTCTTCATAATCATAAAGAAATTGGCCTAAAATCATTAGTCTGTATTGTTTTTTTTTAAAATGTCACCTGCCCCTTTAAGAAAAAGTATCGGTAATTGGTATCGGCAAGTACATGAGGGAAGTACTTGGTCTTGGAAAAACTGGTATCGGGACATCCCTAGTTATATTGCTTTGCATCACGGCATGGCAAAAAATATACAGCACACTGCTTGTCAAGCACAACAATTGGAATGGATGGGACTACACCAAAAGCTTGTGAGTACGCAGTTGCATTGCGGTATTTCAAAAGAACATCCCATTGGGATTAAAAGAAAAATTGGACAGCTGCTTCTCCACCATCCTCTGAAAATAAATCCAATGTGGATAATTTTTCAGATAGCGGTGGAGACTGCTGCTTGTCTGAAAGGGGCCTTAAAAGTTAAAATTGCCTGCTTAGGTTAACCCTCCTAAAACCTAGAGAAAAAATTAAAGTATGGATTGCATTTTATGTTGATCAATTGCTTGTACAAATGTGGATGCATACTATTCAAAATCTAAAGCACTGATTAGATTTAGTGAATTGTAATGTACGTAGGTTAGGGATGTCCCGATACCGATGCTAGCATCGGTATCGGGCCCGATACAAGGCATTTTGACAAGTGCTTGTCAAAATGCCCCAATGCCTAGCGCTGAAGCTTGCGCTGTTTTTTTCCCTTCTTACTTACCTCGCCGAGCGTAGCGTCACGTCACTGCTGCTCCGGTGGGAGGAGCTCCAAGCGGGGTCATCTGGCAGTCTCCGTCTGGATCATTTAACCCATTCATATTAGCAGAGGATAATTGTAAATCTATTGTTGCAGTGGACTCTACTTAATTGGTATCGGCAAGTACATGAGGGGAAGTACTTGTACTTGTACTCGGGCCTGAAAAAGTGGCATCGGGACATCCCTTACGTAGGTATTCATTGCCGAGCTATTGTATACCTGTCTTAACCTCCTAACCAAGAACCTCAAATTAAAGCAAGCAAATGCAAAATAATTTAGTGGTGTGTCTCTTGAAGTAGATGGTAGCTTTTGCCCATGGACATAAGACTAAATTCAGTGCTAAATGTTATGTGGAGGAGGTATTTTGCTCTTTATGCAATTGCTCTGCTTAAGGATTTAAAATCACATTTTATATTATTTTCGTACTGTTGTATTGTGTTTTTTGCTTCATGCCACAAAGCTGTGACAGAACTTCTGCTGAAAGTGCTTCTTATTTTAAATGTGTGTGTGTGAGAAGAAAGGTAACTTTGTCATATTGTTCTCAGTAAAGAAAAGCTTTGCACTTGTGCGTATGTGTCATATACTTTGCAAAACACAGATTCGCACTGAAGTCAATAGAGGCTGTTGCAGTTTGTCACGCGAACGAAATCGCCTGTCGTGCAAAAAGGTGCAGGAGCTATTTTAAGCCGGTTGTCACGCAGTTTGGGTCCCATAGACATCTGTATGCATTGACAACCGCGGTATCATCAGTGGTTCTAATATTTTTATATTTCCTTCTTTTTACTGCTAAAGTTATCTAACACATGCAGTACTTTAGTCAACAAATAAACGTGAATTAACCAACATTGGTGAATGAACTGTACATGGTTATGTGGTGGGCGGAACAGCTTGGACTTGGTAATCTTGCTACATTACTAGAGTTCGGTTGCAAAAATCGTTGGTCACTTGTGTCAGAAATCTTGGGGTGGAATTAACACATTCGTATATATATATATAATTTGTTTTTAATTACAACAGGGGTAACCATAAACAAACCAATTGGCGTACAGATGATGTCGCAGCAATTCAAAAAACAGTATTGATCATGGATCGTTTCACACTCAAAACACTATTGCTAAGATATGTTCGGGCGGTTTCACGCGACAACCTCCCTAAAATGGCTCCTGCACCTTTTTGCATGACAGGCGATTTCGTTTGCGTGACAAACTGCTACAGCCTCCATTGTTGTTATAAGGTAATAACAAATTACCTTATAAGGCACATCTGCACCAATTTAAGAACTTACGGTAAAAAATGAAAAATAAAGGGGACCAACAATTTTTTAGAAAAGACAAAAGGGGAAGGAATGAAACAAAGAAGAACCAAACGCAGTGGAGAGGGTGGCGGAAAAATAAGAAAGGTAGAAGCAAGAAACATCGTAACCTTAACAATAGAAACTTGATATCTGTATGGCAGCAAACAACTTGTAGAGGAGGAGATCTGTGGCATAACTCGGGCAGAGGGCAATGGGCCTCAAAAATCAAATTACCAGTTTATGAATCTAAGTGGCCCAGATATTTATAGAACTTTTCATGCGTGCCTTTGCATGTGGCCACCCATTCTTCCGCATCCATGATCCCATTAACCTTGGCAATCCAATCTGCTCTTGTGGGAACTGTTGTGCTTTTCCAGAGAATAGGAACCAAACGCTTAGCAGCGTTCGCGAGATGGGGGGAGAACACATTTCTTATATCGAGTGATTGACAGAGCTACTAAATGTAGTCGGAAAGGTAGAATGTCTAAAATGTTGTTGATTTTCTGCTTGGATATCTTGCCTAAAGGGATGAACACGTGGACATTCCTACCAAATGTGTAAAAGGGTACCCTCTGGGCCACAACCTCTCCAACAAACTGAAGGGGAAGATGGATTAATTTTAGCTAAGTAGGAGAGTACCCTTTACCAACGTGATAAAAGCTTATAATTCGTCTCTTGGGATCTAGAATCTATGGAGGAACCATGGGCCAATTGAAACATTTTGGTTCATCTGAGCATCTGTTAGGAATGAACACTTTTTAATTTGTTTGTCATCTTGGTTGAATTAATTCACAAAGTCTTTGAGTATGATTATTTTTATCTTGCATATGTGCGGCCATAGATTTCCTGGTTTCCAGTTGCTGTTTTAGCAGTTAACTTTGCCTACTGTAATGTGACCTCCCCCTCACTTTGTACAGTGCAATGGAGCAAACACTGTTACAAGACATACATTTATTTTTGCTCTTCATATCATTCTCATGTGCCGAGGTTTTTATTTAAAAAAAAACAACAAAAACTAGGGATCCACCAATATATATCGGCCGCCGAAACATATTGGCCGAAAATAGCACTTTTGGCTAAATGCCGAAAGTGCCATTTTGCTGCCGATACATTGGCACATCCTAGGTTTCTCTCCTCCCCGCTGGGCGCTGCTCTGTGTGCCAGCGGGGAGGAGAGAAAGTGGCAGCCGGACGAGCGCTGCATGAGGAGAGCGGTGTGGGAGGAGAGACACCGGCCGTTCACATCGCTCTCCTCCCACACCGCTAGGCCGCCTATCACAGTGTGGCAGAGGGGTGTGGGGGCGGATACGGCGCTGTCACAGGAGGGTGAGCTCTCCTCCCGCACAGCTCGCTCAGCCTCCTGTGACAGCGTGTCAGAGAGGAGAGCAGGCTACAAACACTCAGCGATCAGTGATTGCTGAGTGTTTGTAGATAATTGAGGACATGGTATATGGACTATATCCTCAATTATGAATGAATGGGAGTGATCTATATTCCCTTCTGTTCATTCATAATTGTAGTTATAGTAAACATACTCTGTCCTCATGTTATCAATGAACAGGAACACTCCGTATATAAGATTTCTGTTCATTGATAACAGGGGACACAGAAAAAGAGATTGAGGACTCTGTGTTCTCAATCTCTTTCTATTTTAAAAGGGAAATATCAGGGGTCTGTTTAGACCCCCAATATTTCCCCGAAATCCCTAAAAGTAAAAAATATTTAATAAAAAATGAATAAATAAATATAACATTTTAAAAAAGTTTATAAAAAATAAATAAAAATAAAATATATTGAAAACATTTGAAAAAATTAAAATAAACATTTTCGGTATTGGCCTAACAATTTATTTTATTTCGGTTTTTTAATTTCTATTTCGGTGCACCTCTAAAAAAACAAAACCTTGGAAAGACCTTGCAATACCAGACAGAACAAAAATGGTTGAACAACTTCTAAGCCGTTACAGCTTCCCTTTAAGAACTTCAGAAAAGTTTTTCGGTCAGCAGACCTGTTTTCTGAACCCTGTAAATATAAACTATATTTACCAAATATTTTAATATAGTTTTGTTTTTAGTCCTTTTAACATGATAACATATGTACAAAATACTATACAGTCCTTTTAAGTGTCTTTTTAGATGCTGCTGATTTTGTGCTCTTTGTAATAAAAAAAAAAAATGTTTTTGCTCGGTTGTGGGGGATGTATTTTTTTTTTTCATTTTAATGCTAGGTGTGTGCCTGTAATGTGAAATTGTAGTGCTAGATCTCTTCTCTGCATGCTTAATGTTTTGTAAAATGTGGTTTTACTGTGTAATTTTCATAATGCTATACACCGCACTCTAGGTGTGTGGATTGGTGTTTTTAAGTATAGCTTCAAAATGTAAAATTTAAGAGTTTTATAAATGCTTATGAAAAATGTTTTAACAATTTCACCCAAAGTGACATCAGTTTCTCTAATGATATAGAATCACTACAGCAATCTCTAAACCTATAACTAGTTTACCTTTGAATTGATCCTTACTTAAATGTTAATTCAAAGCTGTGTTAGAGGTCTTGCAGGGATGAAATGATGGTAAAGGGCTGAAAAAAGCCTTGGATTTTGACCTATTGTCATTTTAGCAGAGATCGTGTGACCAATTTTACTTTTCATGGTTTGTTATTTGGTTATGTGAACAGCACTGGTGGAAGGAACCTGGAGCAGCATTTCTCCAGATTTCAGTCCAGCTTCCAGGACTCAGTCTAGTGCCTCGGCAGTTGTAGTCTTGCGTGGTGTGTATGTGTGCAGAAAAATTTCACTAGGAAACAAAAGTTAAAAAAAGAGAAAGCTTTGCTGCGGATATGTGGAGGAAGAGTTTAATGTAAATGTGTTGCCTGGAGATAAACCTTTACATACTGAATGCCTCGGTTATGCATTTTTATAAACCAAATTATAAAATGTCCTGATTGTCTTTTTTTTCACTTTTTTTAGTCCCAGAAATCTTGGATAGAAAACAGCTTCAGGAAGAGAGAATGTATCTACATAATTCCAAGTTCAAAGGACCCACACAGGTAAATTTGTGAATTATGTGTTGGGCATGGGAATCATCTAGAAATGGCTTTTTAAAGGTGAACACTAGGCAGATATAAAATACACAAATTAATGCAGCTCTGCTCAAGACCTGGTCAGGGCAGAGGATCCAGCTAGCCTCTTGCAGTCTCTTTATAGCAGTGCTGGCCTATGAGAGGAAGAAGCAGTACAAGGAGCCAATCCGTTTGTGCTGACCAAGAACATGCTGAAAAGGAGAAAGCTGAAAGACAGAGAGGAGTTCATCACTGTGCTTCTTCTTCTTTTTCTCACTAGTCGCAGGCTGGGATAGGTCCAGGAGCTCAGCGGAAGTGAAGTACATTATGCTGACCATGCGGTTTTATCTTTTAATGGGTTATTTATTTTTTATTTAATTTTTTTGGCTGGTGTTCTCCTTTTTTAAATTGTGTGTGTGTGTTTTTTATAGTCTGTACGTTTTTCTTTTCTTTTCATCATTTGAGGGAGACAGGTTTTTTTTTTTTATCCGTTGGGTTATGGTGCTGTCTACAGGACACAGGCAAACAAACTGTTCAGGGAATACTTCTCCTACCAGCCTACTGCAGTTTTTTTTGCTAGTGTCCAAGGGGCATGGATGTTTTTTCTTCAGTTCTGCTGTTGTAAAGACTAACCGGTGGGCAGATGTCTGCAGCCTGGTCACCCAATTGGGAATTGGCCATTGGATTAGTCTTGTCTCCTAATAAACATCTTGGAGCTTTAATTTAAAATTGAACCAATCCGTTGGAGAGCCATCCCATCTGGATTTAGTCTGACAACAGCCACGTCAGTGGCATACATCAATCATTAGGGAGGAACCAGGCTAAACCAACAGGAGATATAGAACAGATCCTATCCTGGCCAGAATTCATGTTCCATGCCAGCTTCCTGATCATTCAGGAAGCTCACTCCATGCTGATTGGCTGGGAACCCGGCTTCCCGGCCAATCATCATGGAGTTGGCTGGGCGGCGGGTAATGCCATGCCGCCCGGCTTCCTGAGTGTCCGGGAAGCTGGCTCCATGCTAGTGGAAGTATCAGTACTCGTACTCTATACTAAAAAAACGATATTGGTGCATCCCTAATCGGAACCTTACATGCCTAAGAAAGTAAGGGAAACCTATGAAGGAAACCTGCATCTAAATATATAACAAGGTGGCTGTCTATGCGTTTATCTTTTTATAAAATGCTAATTGACAGCCAGTCTCACTTGAACTTGTTTTAATGTACTGACCTGACGAACCACTGTAAAACATACAGGTAATAGTGAATAGGACTAAAGCAATATACTGACCTCAAACATATGTGCGGTAAGTAAAGTTAAACTGCACATCTGCATACTTTTTCCTGGAAAGTGACGCAGTGTGGACTAAAGCCAATAAATCTGCATGAAAGCCAGACAGCTAGCATTTTCACAGGGAGAAGTCCGCTATTGTAGACATTATTCCCATATTACAGATTTCCCCTAAAACAGGAAGTGTGTTACTGGCGATCACAAGGGGAAAGAAAATAGTAAGAAAGTAGAAAACAAATGTGACCACCATGTTTTGTTTTTCAATAGGGTATGTTGCCATTCAGTAAACAAATATGCACCTAGTGCAGTTACTGTGTCACATTGGCTAAGAAAAGTTATTATGGTGGTGGCGATAACTAATAATATCCTATGGGGAAAGCACTGGACTCACACCCGCGCACACACACTCTCAGACCCCCTTCACTTTTTTCAATTTTGTTATGTTGCAGCCTGATACTGCAGTTGTTTAAATACTTTTTTTTTTTTTCCCCTCATTAATCCACACTCGGGACCCCTGGTACCCCTTTATGACAAAGATGAATGAAAATAGAATTTTAGAAATGTCTGTGAATTTATTAAAAATAAAAAAATAAAATTTCACCTGTACTTTAAGTATTCAGACCCTTTACTCAGTACTTTGTTGAAGCACATTTGGCAGCAATTACAGTCTCGAGTATTTTTGGGTATGACCTGACAAGCTTTGCACACCTGAATTGGGGGATTTTCTGCCATTCTTCCTTGCAAATTCCCTCAAGCTCAGTCAGGTTAGATGGGGACTGTTGGTGGACAGCCATTTTCAGGTCTCTTCAGAGATTTAATAGGGTTCAAGCCAGGGCTCTGGCTGGGCCACATTAGGACATTCACAGAGTTGTCCCTAAGGCCTGGTTCACACCTGTACGTTTTGTAGCGCGTTCAACGCGCTACGAACGCTCTACAAAACGCTCAAACATGAAAATCCCATTGTTTTCTATGGGTATGGTTCACACCTTGCCGTATTTCAGCCTGTCTGAACGCGCTACAAAACGGCCTACGCCTAAAAAGGTACATGAGCTTCTTTGCTGCGTTTTTGTTGCACGTTTTCATTGGGATACAGCCAAGTAGCCCTCGGAAACGCGTGTTTGTCTCACGGGTTTTTTTACCACGAATCGCGGTAAAAACGTGCGTCACGAAATGCGCGACCAATGCACATATTCGATACGCCTAGGTGTGAACAGAGCCTGAGCCATTCCTTTGTTGTCTTGGCTGTGTGCTTAGGATCATTGTCATGTTGGAAGGTGAACTGTAGTATCAGGCTGCAACATAACAAAACTGAAGGGGGTCTGAATACCATCTCAATGCACTCCTATGTATATATAAATATGTGTGTGATTTTTATTTATATATTTTATATATTTTTTTTTTTTTTTTAGATCCGTCATAGCTTTTTAATTTGTTTTGCTGTTGACTTTATCGTATTGGCAGTTTTACAAATAAAGTGGAAAACTTGCAAATGCGTAATTAGAAAGGTGTTAAACATTCCCCAGCATCTAAAGCATAATCCTTATTTATTTTTAAACTTCATGTTGTGGGTTTATTTATAGAATGGTACATTCATTTTTGTTCTGGGAAGTTGTCTATGGAAAGGGAAAATGTGGGAATGTGTGAAAGGCCAAATCGCATCTTCACATCTGATCTGTCTGTTACTGAATTACTTGTGTGGTGATTTTGCAGATATGTGTTTTAAAGTCTTAGTTTTCAGCACAGTAGTAACTCTTTAAGGTAATCTGTCAATTGAGTCACTGATCTGGAACAGGTATGTAGTGAAGGACTAGCTTTTTCTGACTTTCTAATGTACATGTCTGTTCTGACTTAGTGGCTCAGATAGTACTGAAGTTAGAGTGTCAGCTAAACAATGAGGCGACAAGCGTTTTCAGAGTTGTCTGCAATAGCAGTCCTTGTGTTTCTCTTATCTACCACCTAGAAGAGGTCACAATGTGCTGACCGACTGTGTCCATGGTTTGCTCAAGTCAACATGTAGACCAGTGTTAATCAACACTCTAGGTGTAGGAGGCCTACATTGTGATTTCTGACAAGCAAAGGGCCAATTTCAGGTAATAGAGATTTACACTAGAGGTGCACCAAAATAGAAATTGAAAAACCGAAACAAAACCGAAATAACAAAAATTGTCAGGCCGAAACCAAAAATATTTTTATTTTATTTTTTTAAATGTTTTATTTTTTATAAACTTTAATTTTGTTTACATATTTTTTTTATTCATTTTTGATTTAAATATTTAAATTTTTTACTTTACTTTTAGGGGCTTCAGGGAAATATTAGGGGTCTAAACCTAATCCCCTAGACCCCTGATATTTCCTTTTTAAAATAGAAAAAGAGATTGAGAACACAGAGTCCTCAATCTCTTTTTCTGCAGCCCCTGTTATCAATGAACAGAAATCGTATATACTGAGTGTTCCTGATCGTTCATAACATGAGGACAGAATGTTTACTATAACCACAATTATGAATGAACAGAAGGGAATATAGATCACTCCCATTCATTCATAATTGAGGATATAGTCCATATACCATGTCCTCAATTATCTACAAACACTCAGCAATCACTGATCGCTGAGTGTTTGTAGCCTGCTCTCCTCTCTAAAATGCGCTGAGCGAGCTGTGCGGGAGGAGAGCTCAGCCTCCTGTGACAGCGCCGTCTCAGCCCCCACACCCCTCTGCCGCACTGTGATAGGCGGCCGTGCGGTGTGGGTGGAGAGCGATGTGAATGGCCAGTGTCTCTCCTCCCACACCGCTCTCCTCCCGCAGCGCTCGTCTGGCTGTCACTTTCTCTCCTCCCCACTCACACACAGAGCAGCGCCCAGCGGGGAGGAGAGAAACCAAGGATGTGCCAATGTATCGGCAGCAAAATGGCACTTTCGGCATTTAGCCAAAAGTACCATTTTCAATCATCGATTAATCGGCTTCTGGTTAGTTGGCCCTGATTCACGGCTCCACACACGTTGCGCGCCTTGCCTCCTCCCCACCTCATGCACGCCGCTGCCAGACCCGCCTGCATCCACACGCCGCACCTCCTCAATCTCCTTTTCTTTGTCCCCTGTTAATGAACAGAAATCCTCTGAGTGTTCCTGTTCATTGATAACATGAGGACAGAGTATGTTTACTATAACTACAACTATGAATGAACAGGAAGTGATTTAGCTCACTTCCCGTTCATTTATAATTGAGGATATAGTAAACATGCTGTGTCCCTTAATTATCTACAAACCCTCAGTGATCACCGAGTGTTTGCACTCACTCTCCTCTCTGACACAGAAGGCTGAGCGAGTGGTGCGGGGAGGGGAGCTCAGCCTACTGTGACAGAGCTGGCTGTCTCCGCCCCCCACACCGCTCTGCCGGACTGTGATAGGCGGCTGAGCGGTGTGGGAGGAGAGACACTGGCCGCTCACAGCGCTCTCCTCCTGCAGCGCTGTCACTTTCTCTCCTCCCCGCTGGGACACATTAGTCTACAATAACTAATATCAGTTTGATTGGATGTTCAGCTTACAAGTAAGTTTGGCTTTAAGGTGGTCATAAATCTGATTCCGTCCTGATTCAGAAGACTAATGTGATATTCAGGGGAGGATCAGATCCAGTTTGTTAGAAAAATGTGCAACTGGGCCAATCCTTCCTTTCTCCTCCCCCTCATTATGAAAAGTGTGTGCTTTTCATCAATCATATATAATTCTGTGAATTAATAAAAATGCATTTATTTCTGTTGTGTGCCGTATTACTATCTGGCGCACAAAGTGTAATAGCTCAGTTAAAAAAAAAATTATGATAATGTTAGTAACGCATAATAATAATAATAATATGAAACCATGGGATTTATAGTATAGTATTGCATAAATATAGTATTGCATAAATGTTGTAAATCACTCAGAGGCCAAAAGCTATTCAGCTTAATTATCCTATTCATGAATACATAATTGCCAGTATTATGTATATGTTCTTTATTTAGTGTCTATGAATCCAATATTCCGCTTTACACAGCTTAGATCTTTTTAAATTGCAAAACCGTTTAACTTAACAGTAGTTTAGTTATGTAACATAAGGCCCCGTTCACATTGAGCGATTTATCGCGCGGTAATTCCCGCGATATCGCGGCTATTTACCGCGCAATATCGCTCGCCAATGCTTGCCAATGGGGCAAAGGGTCCTGTTGTCGCGGGTCGTGCGTCGCTACAGCAGGACCCTTTTTGGAGCTGATTTTGCCGCGATTCAATGCTTTTCAATGCAAGCATTTGCGCGATATCGCGCAAAATGCAAATCGCGCGACAAATGCGCGATTTGCGAATCGCTCAATGTGAATGGGGCCTAAGTAAACCCACAGGCATCTATGTATAGCTGAGATACAATTTTCTGGCTCAACTGATTGACCCTTACTACTCCAATTATTTATAAAGTCTGCTTATTTGTATTCTCCCCTCCCCTGATTTACAGTATGCATAATAGTATGTGTTGTGTTAATATTTCACAGATGCCTTCCAGGATGCCAGATATGCCAACAACTTGTAAGGTTTGTATCCTGTGTTTTTTTTTTTTTAAATAATAATAATTCTCTGAGAAAGCTACCCAGTATTGTCCGTTTTTATCTTTGATACAAAACCTGCTGTTTGGGGGAAAAAATGAAGGCAAACTATTTTTTTTTTTAGTTTTTTTTACTTGGCCCCCCCGCCATTGTCCCGCTGATCCCGTGCTCCGCTGTGCCCGGTGCGAGCCCCGGATCAGCATGTCGCCTGTGACACAGGGGATCAGAGAGAGCTCGGTACACGAGCTCCCTCCGGTCCCCTCTCCTCTGAAAGAATGCGGAAGTGTTGTATAATACATCACTTCCGCATTCTTGTGTCACTCTCCAGCTTCAGAAGCTGGAAAGAAGCTGATGGAGCAGATCTCTGCTTCATCAGCTTCTTTTGGGGGGGTCCTAGTTAACTTTAGGGGTCTTGGAGACCCCTGTTGTCTCTATAAAGAGGACCTGTCACATATTTTGCTATCACATTGGGGGGGTTTATTAGCCCCCGTATGTGATAGCAATAAAGTTTAGTGGAAAAAAAAATTAAAGTCCCCCCCAAAAAATTTTTAAGTAACACATAAAAAAGAATAAAAAAAAAAAATGTTTTAAGTCCCCACCCATACATAAACGCATGCATACATGCGTCGGGGGCGCATACGTGCAAAAAAGACGATTGCGCCCATTACGCCGCACATGTTGCATATCGCCGCAAACGTCGCAGTGAGAGCAATAAGTCTAGGGCCATCAATCACTGATAACACTAAACTGATAAACGGTAAAACGTTTAAAGCGTCAGCTATGGCTAATTTTGGTTGCGGTCGTTTTCTGCGATGTCGCGGGTGCGCGCAATTTTAAAGCTTGACATGTTTGGTGTCTATTTAACCGACGTGACCCGATATTTTATATTTGACCAAAAAACTGGGTAATAATAAATGTTTCCTAACATAATGTTAAAAAAAACGTGTTTTTTTTCAAAATTTTCAGTAATTTTTCCTAATTATAATAAAAAATAAAACCCCCAGTGGTGATTAAATACCACCAAAATAAAGCTCTATCTGTCCCCAAAAAATGGTGTAAAATTCATTTCAGTACAGCGTTGCATGACGGAATAAACGTCAGTCAAAGTACCGCATCGCTGAATACTGAAAAATGGCCTGGCCAGGAAGGGGGTCTAAACACCTGGTCTTGAAGTGGTTAAGCAGTGGGAATTTTTTTTTTTTGTCTCCCCTCTCCTCTTTAATCCTCAAAAGTATTTTAACCTGAATTTTAAATCAATCAAATTATTGTAAAGAATATTTATTGATTATTGAATGATTGTGATTCAATCTAAATTGTTGCTGAGTAAATATAGCGGAGGTAGAGTTTATTGTATAAACAAGGTAAAATTTACCTGTAATACTCTGCTTCTTGTTTTACAAGGTGTTTTTTGTTTTTTTTTGTAAACACATGGCCTTTTCTTCATCATAGATGCTGCTGCGGCCGTCTTGTCAGACAGCATGCCTGCTTCACAGCCAGTGTTGCTATGAAGTACTCCGATCTGAAACTAGGTGAAAATTTCACAGGGGAGCAAGAAGAATGGTCCGTCGAGAAACACACAGAAGAGAGCCCAACAGATGCATATGGTGTTATCAATTTTCAAGGTGGATCCCATTCCTACAGAGCAAAGGTACAGGGTGCAATATTGTGGGATAACTAGATCATGGACCTCATTAATGATGGTGGAATAGGAACCAGATAACAAATTTGTAGTAGCTTCATGTCATTGGGGAACTCAATTTGTGTAATTTTATTAAACTTACTGGATCAGGTTGGAGGAAGTATGAATCTATTAAAGCCCAATGTAACTGTGGTGGCTAAATACATTCCAGGTGCGTTAAAAAAAAAAGTGTTTTAAAGCCCAAGGGTTAAGTGCTCATTTTCGTCTAGGTTCGGGTGAGTATATCGTTATTTTAGACCCTAGACGAAAACAAGCACTTAACCCTTGCAGTGTGGAGGTAGCCCCACTGCAAGGCTTAAGTTTTATTCTGTCCAGAGCTCTTTAAGCTGTGGGCACGTGGCACCTTCAGCCTTGAGTCGTCCCCTCTGCTGGTTACTTCCTGCATGACATGGACACTTCCTATTGAATGTCTATTGGCCAGGGTCCTCTCGTGATCCAAAAGAGCACCAATGTCTTCGAAGGGAAATGAAGGAGACCGCCGGCCCCAGGCACCATCACGTTGATGAATTCGCAGTCCCCCATCCGGAAACAATAGCTGAGAGGGAAGCTTAGGTGAGTATACAGTATCTCACAGAAGTGAGTACACCCCTCACATTTTTGTAAATATTTTATTTTATAATTTCATGTGACGACACAGAAGAAATGACACTTTGCTACAATGTAAAGTAGTTAGTGTAGAGCTTGTATATCAGTGTACATTTGCTGTCCCCTCAAAATAACTCAACACACAGCCATTTATGTCTAACCCGCTGGTAACAAAAGTGAGTACACCCCTAAGTGAAAATGTCCAAATTGGGCCCAAAGTGTCAATATTTTGTGTGGACACCATTATTTTCCAGCACTGCCTTAACCCTCTTGGGCATTGAGTTCACCAGAGCTTCACAGGTTGCCACTAGAGTCCTCTTCCACTTCTCCATGAGGACATCCCGGAGCTGGTGGATGTTGGAGACCTTGCGCTCCTCCACCTTCCGTTTGCGGATGCCCCACAGATGCTCAATAGGGTTTAGGTCTGGAGACATGCTTTGCCAGTCCATCACCTTTACCCTCAGCTTCTTTAGCAAGGCAGTGGTCGTCTTGGAGGTGTGTTTGGGGTCCTTATCATGTTGGAATACTGCCCTGCGGCCCAGTCTCCGAAGGGAGGGCATCATGCTCTGGTTCAGTATGTCACAGTACATGTTGGCATTCATGGTTCCCTCAATGAACTGTAGCTCCCCAGTGCCGGCAGCACTCATTCAGCCACAGACCATGACACTCCCACCACCATGCTTGACTGTAGGCAAGACACACTTGTCTTTGTACTCCTCACCTGGTTGCTGCCACACACGCTTGACACCATCTGAACCAAATAAGTTTATCTTGGTCTCATCAGACCACAGGACATGGTTCCTGTAATCGATGTCCTTAGTCTGCTTGTCTTCAGCAAACTGTTTGCGGGCTTTCTTGTGCATCATCTTTAGAAGCGTCTTCCTTCTGGGACGACAGCCATGCAGACCAATTTATTAAAGTGTGCGGCATATGGTCTGAGCACTGACAGGGGACCCCCCGCCCCTTCAACCTCTGCAGCAATGCTGGCAGCATTCATAAGTCTATTTCCCAAAGACCACCTCTGGATATGACGCTGAGCATGTGCACTCAACTTCTTTGGTTGACCATGGCGAGGCCTGTTCTGAGTGGAACCTGTCCTGTTAAACCGCTGTATGGTGTTGGCCACCGTGCTGCAGCTCAGTTTCAGGGTCTTGGCAATCTTCTTGTAGCCTAGGTCATCTTTATGTAGAGCAACAATTCTTTTTTTCAGATCCTCAGAGTTCTTTGCCATGAGGTGCCATGCTGAACTTCCAGTGACCAGTATGAGAGAGTGAGAGCGATAACACCAAATTTAACACACCTGCTCTCCATTCACACTTGAGACCCTGTAACACTAAGACTGGGTTCACAAATAGGCGTATCGAATATGCGCGCTTGTAGCGCGTTTTTACCGCGATACACGGTAAAAAAACGTGCGACAAACGCGCGTTTCCGATGTCTACCTGGCTGTATCCCAATGGATATGCGCGGCAAATACGGCCCAAAGAAGCTCCTGTACTTCTTTGGGCGTAGGGCGTTTTGCAGCGCGTTCCTACGCGCTGTGAAACGCCCAGGTGGGAACCATGCCCATAGGCAATCATTGGTTTTCACATGTTGAGCGTTTTACAGAGCGTAGGAACGCGCTGTAAAACACCCAGGTGTTAACCAGGCCTAACGAATCACATGAGGAGGGAACGAATCACCGGGGAGAAAAAATGGCTAATTGGGCCTAATTTGGACATTTTCACTTAGGGGTGTACTCACTTTTGTTGCCAGCGGTTTAGAGATTAAAGGCTGTGTGTTTAGTTATTTTGAGGGGACAGCAAATGTACTCTGATATACAAGCTGTACACTACTTTACATTGTAGCAAAGTGTAATTTCTTCTGTGTCGTCACATGAAATGATATAATAAAATATTTACAAAAATGTGAGGGGTGTACTCGCTTCTGTGAGATACTGCATCTGACTTAACAAGGTAAGGGTAAACAAATCCTAGCACGATGGGTTAGAGGTGGGTGGAATGGGAGAAGTTAGAAAAAAATTATTTTTAACCCTAAGGAGTCAGAACTAAAGCTCTGCATTCAGCAAAGCTTCTAACAACCACATGAAGAACTCAGGCTATGGTAAAGCAGGGGGTCTCAGACCTTGTCAAAGATATCACTGCTTCTCTACAGAGGGCAAAGGTGCCACTCTATAGCTGCTGGCAGGTACAGTTTTTTTATTTTTTGTTCGGGCTGTGGCATATTTCAAAAGAGAACAAACTGTAAGGCCCGGTTCACGCCTGAGTATGAGCACTCACAGCGTGTTGATGCATCTGGAAGGTATTTAGATCATTTAAATTTAAAGTTCAATTGGGCACTAAGTTATAGTGTTGGCCAGTTAGGATTTAATGTTGGATTTCTGTTTAATAAAGAACAAAAGCAAGTTTTTTTAAGGATTTTTAGGAAAATATTGCAGTATCAGGAAAGAGTCAAATATGGTAGTTAGTTTTAAATTTAGGAGGTCTACTTATAACCTTCTGAAATACTGGGTTCTTTAAATATGTTTTAGAAGGAGGTTTTAAATATAGCATATCAGTTATACCTTTAGGATAATAGTAGGAACGGGAAACAAGAATTCTTTCCGAGCCTTATGTTGAACATGGCTTGACAAGTGCACTAATGTTGTCATGCCTAAAATGTTGTAACATGTATAGCCATTTGGTTGATAGCTTTATGTATATGAAGTTAGAGGTTAAATGTGTGTGTGTGTATAATATATATATATTTTTGTTTTGAATGTCATTTCAAGAGTCACAACTTCTAGATGAACTAAAGTGAAACGTTTTTCATGTTTCATGGAGGGTTAAAACATCTGCCACAACACAGTAAGAACAAATGACTCCAATATTGGGGAAATCCCTGCTATCACCAGAGCTAGTGTACCCATTGGAAAATGTTCCCTCTTTCTTTTCTGGTCACAACTTAATATGAAGGATTTTCTTCCACACTTGGTGATTATTAGGGATGCTCCGATACCACTTTTTTAAGACCGAGTAAGAGTACCGATACTTTTTTTTCAAGTACTCGCCCATACCAATTACCGATGTGCTGTCATTCACGCAGCTGGGCGGATCCAGACATAATTGTCGGGATCTGCTTCAGCTGTGGCGTTTGAGTATACCGCGAGCTGTAGATCACGGTATACTGAGCTTAAGGTGACGGGTGGACGCTAGTTTGTGTCCTCCCGTTACCCTAAGGAGAACTATGGGGAAAAGCCTTAACCCCATGGTTCTCCTTAACTAAGGCTTGTATCCCCATAGTGGGGAAAATAGATGAGCACATGTCCAGAACACTGTATAGTGTGGCACAGCTATATCCAATTCTGTATAACTTGCTTTATATTTTTAATTTTTTTTTATAATATAAAGCCGGGTATGCAGAATTGGATATAGCTGTGCCACACTATACAGTGTTCTGGTCCGGAGTCTGGACACGTGCTCATCTATTTTCCCCACTAGGGGGATACAAGCCTTAGTTATTAATAGCTACTTAGTTATTTCTTTAAAAAAAATATTATATGCAGTTAAACAACATTTTTGTGCCCAGCCCCCATGCGGTGCTGCAGTACTAATAGAAAATGATTTTGTTTCTGCCTGGAGATCCGAACCATTTAAATGACCCTTTATCTCATCATTCTTGTCAACCAGATCCGTAACCAAAATGAACCATATATACCAAAAAGATAAACCAGCTAACAAGAGTGGCTGGTTTAAAAAGGGTTAACAGAGGATCGGGACAAGTATTCCAATTATAAAAAGTTTATTAGATAAAATATCCGTTTTGGACATAAACATCATATCACTAACTGGTTTAAAAAAAAAAAGCATGACATACAATTATAAATCTTCAGGTATGCAGATCTGTTTGTATAGTGTGCTTTCATTCATATATGCTAATCAGCTGACACCAAAGGATAATACGTTCCATATAACGTATTATCCTTTGGTGTCCGCTGGTATCTGAAATACACCTATTAATCTCCAGTGGGAGAAACAAGGAAGTTACATAGTAGCATCTTCTTAAAAAATCAGTTTCTTTCCCACATTGTTTCAGCTGATTAGCGTATATGAATGAGAGCACATTATACAAACAGATCTGCATACCTGAAGAACAAGCTTGAAACTAGTCTACCTTTTTCTGCGTATGTCGGTTTCTTGGTGGGGTTTTGCTGCTCAGGTGTGAACAGGGGCCATTTTCCTACTGCTCAGAAACACTAGGTGTGAGCAAGGCGTAAAATGAATATTTCAAGAAAAGGCAGGATTCAGCTTGAGAGGTGACTATTACTCCCGGAGTCATAATTTATACATTTGTCTGTTGTGATATAACAAGCAAAGTTTGGTTATTTGGATACATTGCAATATCTGTGTTAAAAATGTTTTCTTATATTTTGTTTTAGTATGCTAGGTTGTCATATGACACCAGACCAGAAACCATTTTGCAGCTAATGCTAAAAGAATGGCAGATGGAATTGCCCAAACTCGTTATCTCTGTGCATGGAGGAATGCAGAAATTTGAGCTTCATCCCCGCATAAAGCAATTAATTGGCAAAGGTCTCATCAAAGCAGCTGTAACAACAGGAGCTTGGATTGTTACTGGAGGAGTGAATGCTGGTAAAGAATAAGGCTGATGTAATGATTTAAAGGAGAACTATGAGGTGAGTGCTTTTCACTCACCTCATAGTTCTAGCCGACCTGTGACAATGAGACTGTCACAGGTCGGCTCAGTAGATCGGGAGGTGAGCGAACACATACCAGGTTCGCTCACCTCTCGATCCTGTCACGGCTCTCTGCTGTGACAGGGGGAGGGCTGGATTCCCCTCTCCCCGCTCCGATCTGCCAGCGCTGACTGGCGGAACGGACGGGGGAGGGGGCAGGTACAGCTGGCTCTGCCTCTAGATAGGCAGAGCCAGCTGTCACTCACGCAGCTGGGCGGATCCCGTCATCTAAGTCGGGAACCGCTCCGGCTGCGGTGTCTCAGTATATCGCGAGCTGTATTTCGCGGTATACTGAGCCTAGGGTAACGGGAGGACGCTAGTTTGTGTCCTCCCGTTACCCTAAGGAGAACTATGGGGAAAAACACTGACCCCATAGTTCTCCTTTAACCATTATTTGCATGTATATACCATAGTGGGGTTAATGATTGCAGAGGGAGTTCTCAGTAGACAGCAGAAAAAATGGAGATACCATTAGTCACTGATAACCTTACTAGATAAATAAAACCGGTAATCTTTGCTTTTTGCGTATCGCTCTTCTTTATTATCAGCCTAAGTTACATAATGTTTGGTGTTTACATTTTCAAATGAGGGGTATGCTGGTGAGAGGATACGTACAATAATTGTCAGGCATAGATTTGTTTTAGTCCTTATTCACACCAAGCGCAGAGTGATAGATAGATAGATAGATAGATAGATAGATAGATCTATATCGATATATATTTTTTAACCAAAAACGCCCCGGAACGCCTCAAAAACGCGGCACAACCCACTGCACTGCGTGTGCAGAAACCTGAGCGGATCTGCTCTGCATTTGGTGTGAACAAGGCCTTAGGCCTGGTACAAGACGTTTATTAAAAGGAGAACTATGATGTAAGTGTTTTTCACCATAGTTCTCCTCAGAGTCACGGGAGGACATAAACTAGCGTCCTCCCGTGACCCAAAGCTCAGTATACCGCGAGCTACAGCTCGCAGTATACTGAGGCAGCCGGGACGGATCCCAACATTACTGTCGAGATCTACCCAGCTGCGTGATTGACAGCTAGCTCTGCCTATCTATAGGCAGAGCCAGCTGTACCCGCCCCGTTCGTTCCTCCCGTCAACGCTGGAGGATCGGGGAGGGGGGGAATCCCTGCAGGGAGCCGTGAGTGACAGTCACGGCTCTCTGCAGGGACATGATCAAGAAGTGAGCGAGCGACGGTATGTGTTCACTCACTTCCCGAACTATTGAGCTGACGTGTGACAGTTTCATTGTCTCACATCGGCTCGAACTATGAGGTTGAGTGAAAATCACTCCCCTCATAGTTTTCCTTTTAACTGACACTCCTAGGAGTGCATGATTACATTTTGTAACTTTCTTATGTATATATGTAACCAGGTGTTGCTAAACATGTTGGTGATGCTCTCAAAGAACACGCTTCAAGGTCATCTCGAAAAATTTGCACCATTGGCATTGCTCCCTGGGGAGTCATTGAAAATCGGAATGACTTGGTTGGAAGAGATGTGAGTAAACTTTGCTTTCATTTAATGGTGATGGATCATCAATGATCACTATTGTCATAAACATTTTTTCTTCCCCTGTAGGTCATTGCTTCTTATCAAACATTGTTGAACCCTCTGAGTAAATTGAATGTCCTCAATAATCTGCATTCCCATTTTATTCTGGTGGATGATGGTACAGTTGGAAAATATGGAGCGGAAGTTAGTTTAAGAAGGGAACTAGAAAAAACAATCAACTTACAACGCATCCATGCCCGTATGTTCTTAATATGTCTTTCCTTTTTTTCTTTCTTTTTAATCTTGTGGTACCACATTTTAGATTTTACAATGAAGCACGTATTACATATTTTCCCTTTTTTCTTTTTAGGCATTGGCCAAGGAGTGCCTGTAGTAGCCTTGATCTTTGAAGGTGGTCCAAATGTGATTCTTACGGTTTTGGAATACCTGCAGGAAAGCCCTCCTGTACCAGTTGTTGTGTGTGAAGGCACTGGAAGAGCTGCTGACATATTGGCTTATGTACATAAACAAACTGAAGAAGATGGGTGTGTATGTTTATACATTAGTAGAAAGTTTACAAAAAGCAATGAATGTTTAGTTCATATATCAGAGGCGGCTAACATTTTTACTTTTAGGACACTGCCAGAAGGTGCTGAGCCGGAAATAATATCAACTATCAAAAAGACTTTTAACTTTAGCCAATCTGAAGCCGTCCACCTCTTCCAAATTGTAATGGAGTGCATGAAGAGCAAGGGATTGGTAAGAACTGTGAGCGGATACTAGGACTGCAGCTAACGATTATTTTCATAATTGAATAGTCAGCTGATTATTAACTCTGATTAATCGGATTAATTTTTTTTTTACCTCTCATTCATTTACAACAAAATACACAAATGCAGCGTTACAGACAAAGTTTACTTCAGAATAAAATGGTATGCACATTTTTTGAAATGGCACTGCACTGGAACACAGGGTTTTGCAGTACCCCGCATTCCGGTGCGGGCGATCACACTGCGGACGGGAGGTGCATTTGGGATCCATTGAAATTAATGGCACTTCCTTTTTTGGTAAACTGGCCTGCTTTTTCCCCTATTTAAGTAAAAAGTTACTGCCCTTCAAAAACACATTGCAATGCATCTGAAAAGCATGGCAAATTATGTTGCAAGATTATTATTTTTTTCCTTATGTCCATCTGGTGACAACAAACCCGCATTCATTTTTTTTTTTATAATCTGCCTCTAGAAACCCTTTTAATCCTTTTAACCTTTTGTTTGTTTTAGTTGACCCCCAAAATATAGATGTGAACAGTATTAAAAAACAGGCTTCTCTTAATTTAAACAGATCACTGTGTTTCACATTGGATCAGATGAACATCAGGACATCGATGTTGCAATACTGACTGCTCTGTTAAAAGGTAACTAATTTGTCTATTGTTTTAAGACTGGCATCGATTGGCAGGCTTCTTACCAGTTAGCCCAAGAGAGGAGAAATCTGTCTGATGTACACACTGCCAAGGCTGCCATCAATGTTTTGCTTATCCCCACAAGTTAATTTGACTGTATTCTTCACTTTAAGCTTGCATTGATTCATTATCTTTTGTTAAAACCTAAAATATCACCAGGTTGGCTAAATTTCATTCAGGATCCTCCCCTCTTTGTTTCTGCATTTCCCGAAAGTGGGAACCTACCTACACTTATGGTGGCATTGCCCTGTGGTCAGGTCTCTAAGGTCAAATGTTTTGACACCTCAATATTCTACTAGGTCGCCCATTTGCCACTGACCCTTGGGAAGCCCTTTTCAGTAAAATACCTGACTATTTCTTCCCACCAGTTTAAACATTTGCTTTTTCCCTTTACTTTGTTAAAGTAAATAAAAATAAAAAATTTTGAAGAAATTCAAAAAGAAAAGAATTCAAAAAAAGAAAAACCTAAAATATCAATACTTTATCAATATACATATATTCATAGACTTGCGGTACTGTGCAAAGGTTTTAGGCAGGTGTGAAAGAATGCTGTAAGCAAGAATGTTTTTGAAAGGTATATATTTAGTATTGCTTATTTTTATCGATTTACAAAATGCAGAATAAGTGAGCAGAAGAAAAATCTAAATCAAATCACTATTTGATGTCTATCCTTTGGCTTCAAAACAGCATCAATTTTTGCACACTTGCACAAAGTCAGGTATTTTGTAGGATTAAAGTGCCCATACACTGCACGATTATCATACGATAATCGCAGGAAATCCCACGATCGTATGATAATCGCAAAGTGTATGGAAGGCATGCAACCGTTTCTTCTTCCAGCCTGCTTGTTCGTCTTCCGTCGAACAAGCAGGCTGGAAAACCCGCCGAGAATCGTACGATTTTTGGCGAGTTAGTGGCCTGCTTGTTCGACAACTGCCGAAGGGGCCGCACGCGCACACTGCCCGTTTGCAGTCATCGGAAGCCCGCCCCTCATTGCAGTCATCGGGAGCCCAGCCCTCCCGAACTCAACTATGCATGGAAACGTAGGAACTGGGGTGCAGAAATATAGCAGCAGGTGCTCTGGACTGATGAGTCAAAATTTGAAATATTTGGCTGTAGCCAGAGGCAGTTTGTTCGCTGAAGGGCTGGAGAGCGGTACAATGAGGTACAATGAGTGTCTGCAGGCAACAGTGAAGCATGATGGCACTTCCTTGCAAGTCTGGGGCTGCATTTCTGCAAATGGAGTTGGAGAATTGATCAGGATCAATGGTGTCCACAATGCTGAGCAATACAAGATACTTATCCATAGTTACATAGTATTCGAGGTTGAATAAAGACACAAGTCCATCAAGTCCAACCTATTGTGTGCATGTATATGGCTCTACTGAAGTTTGCGTATGTATAGGTCCCTGTGTGATCCATCATGCCATACCATCAGGAAAGCGTGTCAATGGCCCCAAATGTATTCTGCAGCACGCCAACAACCCCAAACACAGCCAATCTCATTAAGAACTATCTTCAGCATAAAGAAGAACATGGAGTCCTGGAAGTGATTAATTTGGCCCCCCACAGAGTCCTGATCTCAACATCGAGTCTGTCTGGGATTACATGAAGAGACAGAAGGATTTGAGGCAGCCTACATCCACAGAAGATCTGTGGTTAGTTCTCCAAGATGTTTGGAACCACCTACCTACCAAGTTCCTTGTGTGCAAGTATATCTAGAAGAATAGATGCTGTTTTGAATGCAAAGGGTGGTCACACCAAATATTGATTTTATTGGATTTCTCTTGTGTTCATTTACTTTCCCTTTTGTTTATTTTGATCAATTAACGATTATCACTTTTTCTATATACAATTTTTGAATTGTTTTTTTACAGCTGCCTAAAACCTTTGCGCAGTACTGTTTTATATATTTTTGTTTCCTGCTTTTGGTTATTATTTCCCTTCAGCAAACTGGCATGTATGCCGCCGAACTATAGCCGCCCCCGCCCTAAGAATCTGTCTTTTTTTTAGGTGCAAATCATTGGCAGGGGAAGTGATGTCAAACAGGCATATAGGAAAGTAAGAATCCAGCTACCCTATGTCCTGGCATTGGGTTGGGTGAAACATGTCAGAGGGGACAGACCTTGGGCAGGACTCAGACTGACACTGACATACAGGTGAAACTCGAATAATTAGAATATCGTGCAAAAGTAATTGAGTAAGTGCTGCAAAAGGGGCCCAAACCAAGTACTGAGTACATATGCATGCTTGTACTTTTCAGAGGTCCCATATTGTTCTATGTACAATCCTTGTTTTATTGATTGCATGTAATAATCTACTTTTTTGAGGTTGTGGATTTGGGGTTCTTGGGGTTTTCATGAGCTGTAAGCCATAATCATCACAATTATGACAAATCACGGCTTGAACTATCTTGCTTTGCATGTAATGAGTCTATCTCATATATTTCACCTTTTAAGTTGCATTAGTGAAATAAATGAACTTTGCACAATATTCTAATTATTCGAGTTTCACCTGTATGTTTTCAATAAACTGATTAGTGTGGAAAGGAGTGTAGCCGGATTCTTCCTTTACTATATGCTTGTTTGGAGTGAGGACACACTCCTGCCGGCGAGCACCCAGCTGTCTTTCCTCTGCTAAAGCTGTGGAGGAGCTGTGCTTTATTCCTGTGCTTTGGTTTGGAGGAGGTCCCATGTTTGCAATGAATATATCATGGGTGCAAAAATTGAAAAAAGGGCCTCAGTCATGAAGGGGTTTAATGGAATTGAATCTCCAACAAATTTATGTGCAGCATGTCATTTTTAAGATGAATAGAAAATACTTGCTGAAATAAAGTTTGGTAAACATCTTCAGTAGTATCATGTACACATACAGAAATTATGTTTTTAATTATATACGGGAAATTCTTAGCATTTTGAAAATGCATAGTGTGGGGATGTGAGATTGTATATCTTGTATGTTAGAATACCCAAATGTTTTGATGTTGATTTTGTGGTACTAACTTTTTTTTCTTTTCTTTTTAGGAACAAATGCTACTGCTTTAGATCAACTGGTATTAACTTTAGCATGGGATAGAGTTGACATCGCCAAAAATCATGTTTTTGTCTATGGACAACAGTGGCTGGTAGGAATGGCTGTGTATATATATATATATATATATATATAACCAGTATTTCAGCTTTTACAGATATGTGCAATGTTTTAAGGTATTTTTGCAAGCTGTTTTTAGGAAGTGCTACATCCTCTCTTTGGGGGTGGCCTGTGTTTTCCAAATATCATCAGTGAGTTGACTATATTGTGAAGTGGACATCAATGATATCTTTTCTAAACACCATGCATTCTAGGAACATGACATCTAAGACATTGGGGGAATTTATCAAAACTGGAGCAGACAAAATCTGGAGCAGATTTGCACTGCAGCCAATCAGCTTCTCTGTCTCATTTCCAAATCTTACCTGAGAAAACTGAAGAGAGATGCTGATTGGTTGCCATGGGCAACTGCTCCAGATTCTACTTGCTTCAGTATTGATAAATTCCCCTCATTGTGTCGAGTCGGCTACATTCAGGATGGGCATCAGGGATACTTACTTTACTACAGATGGCGGGTGGTTGAGATGTGAAGCACTGCATCCCCACATTCCACCCACCTTCTAAATTTAGATACACACTGCTTGTAGCCAGCATATTTATGTAGCCTGAGAACAAATATATCTTCAGAGAATCTAAAATGATTGAAATATTCCCTTTTTTTAATATGCACTTTTCTTTACTACCACCAATAAATGAATAAAATTAAATAGTCTTTCCTGATTCCTTTTTTTATGTGTATTTGAGCTAGTTATTCTGTACTAAGTAGGGTTTTGTTTGTCATGTGATTATGGGCACATTCTGTTTGGGGTAACTGGTTTATTAAATATTTCCTCAGGTTGGTTCTTTGGAACAAGCCATGCTGGATGCACTTGTAATGGACAGGGTTGCCTTTGTCAAACTTCTCATTGAAAATGGTGTCAGCATGCACAAGTTTCTTACAATTCCTAGGCTGGAAGAATTGTATAATACTGTAAGTTAAATTTATAATATGTTAAAAGATAATAAGGTTTCTGTTAAAGCCATGTATATGGCATGTACTTTGTTACCCTTTCTTCTAAATAAATGAATTAATTTACATCTTAATTATATTGTAAATGTTAATTATTAGGCAATGTCCTTTAGAGTCTGCTTTATCCATGCTGATATAAGGACTGCTGCTCTCCCCAGCTGCATGTACTCCTGTTCTTTACATTCCCCCCACACTTCATTCAGTAACTAGAATGAGGATAGGAATTGGTATGCGAGTCTGAAGTTGCATATTCGCGCTTACACTGTGCTGAGGATTCTCTTCCCCAACTCCATGTGACATTACTAGATGCCTGAATGGACAATCGCCAAGCACCAACGCTATCATGTGGAAGGAAGGCGAAAGCCACATGCTCCTCATACCTAAAAGTACTGGGTATTTCTCTGTGAACCTGGTGGTTAAGTGAAGCTGTGGTGGAAGCAGTGACGGCAAGGGGAGTATGTACTTTTTGGGATGGCAGCAGTTAAGTGATCTTGTTGCTTTGTCCTGCATGGGCATAGCACAGGTTCATGTTAATGTTCATACACATAGGTAATGTGTGCACAGTGCCTGGTGCTCATATTTTCCATTCTCCCATACCAGCTTTTTTAAGCTCTTGTTTATTTTTCAGTTACTGCTGTATCTAACTTTAAAAGGCTACCTGTGTGGTGGTTCAACAGTAGAAATTGACTTACCTTTCTAGTTTCAGGCTGCCCCAGTAGCCTGCAATTCCAGAATGCTTTTTAAAGAAAGTTGTGACTGGAGCATGCACAGTGGCGTTGTAGCCCCTTCTTAAAGGAGAATTATGACCTAAGGGCAAATAAAAGTACTTCTTGCCTTTTACTCTAATAGCATTCTTCTTTTCCAAAGTCGCAGTCACCTGCAGCCATGCTCCAAGCTCCTTTCCTCTTAGGGGGCGTTAACAAGGAATGCAGCCCCGCCCTCAGCTTTTTTTTTTTTCTAACTCTATCTGCTGTGGCCACACTTTCTCTAGTCAAGAACACTGTGTATGGCTGGAGTGTGCACGCTGACATGTGGGAGCAGGAGGCAGAGTCTCAACTGAGAAGCAGCAAGCTGACTCAGCCTCCCTTCTCTTTCCCTCTCTCTTACCAGTATTTCCCCTCTCTCTTCACCGATCTTCTCCTGTTGTCTCATTAATCAGATGCTTGCAGCAGTTGTATGAAAACCTGTTCCCCGTAAATCTTAGTTCCCCTGACCGTTCAACTATTACCATAACCCCGCCCCTTCCTTATAGCTGCTTTAGTATTTACATAGCCCTGCCCCCTCTCTGCAAGCTCCAGTGTTCTATGAGAAAGACGAATGTCTCCTCTCACATTGTGTGCTCTGATCGTTCAGGGGAGACCAGTCAGAGATTTCCTGCACAGTGGTGTGGGGGGAAGCTGAACAATCAGAGCACACAATGTAAGAGGAGATTTTCGTCTCTTTCTCAGAGAACACCGGGGCTTGCAGAGAGGGGGCAGGCTATGTAAGTACTAAGCAGCTGTAAGGAAGGGGCGGGGAATACGGTAATAGCTGAACGGTCAGGAGGAACTAAGATTTATGGGGAACAGGTTTCCATACAACTGCTGCACATTTTCAAGATTTTGCACGCGCTGTCATTTGCTGGCACAGACGACGGGGACGTGGAAGTAGGAAGAGAGCTGCTGCGCATGCCCATGTATTCGTGGACGCGCAGCGGTTCTCAAGGAATGCCGTCAGTCACAGTGAGAACGATCGGTTGGGAGGATCCTGACAGTATTGTCGGGATCTCTCCCCACTGCTGCGCTTAGCCCCGCCCACCATCCTAAAGTAACGATTGTATGTTTAGGGTGCATTTTGGATTATAGGAGTAAATTGCAAAATGTACTCCTATAGCCCATGGAATCCAAAAGTAACGAAAAGCTTGGACCCCACAGTTCTCCTTTTAACAGGAAGGAGAAGCACAAGTGGTGGACAGAGCAGGAGATGCAGAACTGCCATGCAAGCTCTGGTCACAATTTTATATTTTTTTTGATAGGGCACCTTTTTAGATGGAACCCGGAACAAGAGCCAGCTTACCATCAGTAAACCACTGTTCTTTTAAAGGCAACCTGTCATTGCCTAAAATCTTTCAAATGCCCACAATTCAGTGGTCCGAAGAGGCTCAACATCTGACAATTGGGGAATGGCTCAATTTCAACTTGAAATGCAATCAAGGCCCTTTGCTGGATTGACTTGAAGATTAATACAATTGCTTGTAGGCGCCATTAAGTGCGTGCATTTCGATGTTGGTATTGAAAACGCTGCGTTCAAATGCGCACAGCACTTATTTCTGTGCGCATCTGAACGCAGCACATACAAATACAAGGCCCCATACACAGCTGCATTGTTGTCGTGTTTTTGCGTTGAGTACAGATGTGTGCAAAGAATGGAACAGAGCTGCATCATGTGGTGCAAGAGTGCGGTTTTTTTACGCGCATGTCAATGTCTGCATATGTGTGTGAAGCATTTTGTCAGCTCCTTCAGTTATTGAATTCTTTTTGTTTTACTACACTGGTTAAGGGTTGGGGGGGGGGAGTGTTGGAGGAAACTGCTGGACCACGCGAACTGTTGTGGCTGACTTTTATTTGAGGAATAATGTAATCGTATTTTTTAATACTTCGTTCATATCATTCATGTTCTATTTGAGTAAAACATTTCCATTCTTTGTTCATTCCCTCTAATACACTTTCACATATCTTAAATAGGAAAGTAAATAACTGTCATTTTAAATGTCTGAAATATTGCCATTTATTAACGTATGTCCTAACATCACTCACTTGTATTTTTTATTTTTTTTTGCATTAAAGAAACAAGGTCCTACTAACCCAACTCTGTTCCATCTAGTCCGAGATGTAAAACAGGTAATTTCAACATTATTTCCTGTTTGTTTTTGTTTCAGATTATTAGAGAAAATCCTAAACTGTTGACAAGCCACTTTTACTTTTGTCTGTTTACCTGCCATCATCACTAGTTTTTTTAAATTCCATTCAAAAGTGTTTTTCAGCTCGATCTAAACATTGAGTCATTAGAAGGGAAGCTTTGATGTTTCTAGTGAACACTTTGAGCTGTGCTTGTTGATGCAGTGTTTACGTGAAAGCATTTTTTGATTGCTCTGCCTTTGACTCTACCTCATTAAACCTTTTGAAATAACAGATCAGCCACGCAGGTAGTACGTGGTTTCAGTGTGTTGTCAGATAAGGAGCAGAAAAGATTAGCAATGCATATCCTGCAGTGAAGGAAGCCAAGCCTATATATGAGGAGGAAATATGACTGTACAATTTACATACTGTTACATTGGAACTGTTTTTTGTTTGTATTTTGTTTTGTTTTTTTCTTACACATTAATAACATTTACCTATCTATCATCTTTTACAAGTATAGCTAAAATACTCATTTTAGTAAATTCCTAGTACATTTTAGTAAACAATCCTTTTGGTAAATTGAATAAAATGCAGATATCTGTCGAATCCATGCACTGGTCACCTGGGCTACAAAAGTTTCTTATGTGGATGATGATAAAAGTTATACACATACAATTACCATTCCATGTATTGGTTGTTTAATCCAGTGTTTTTCACCCTTTTTTATTCTCACGGCACACTAGTGTGCCGCGGCACACTGGTTGAAAAACACTGGTTTAATCCATAACGATCTTTGTTTTGGAATCCAACTCTGAGCTGTCCTTTAGGAAAATATACAGACACTTCTCGGTTTATGATGGCGTTACGTTCTGATAAACCCATATTAACGTGATCGTATTGTAAACCGGGGAGTGTACTGTAGTGTACTGTACTGCCGCGGTCGTCAGCAAACCGCACAAAATAGGGAGCAATAGCCAGACTGCTATTCGCTATTTAAAATTGCAATGGACAATGGCAGGCTGGCTATTGAAACCCTGCCAACTAAAAGGACGCGTGGACCTGAGAGAGAAAGTTCTCTGTCGGGTCCACTTCCCTGCTCAGTGGGAAGGTGGCATAGCCAGCCTGCTATTGCAATTTGAAATGGCCATCAGCAGTCCAGCTATTGCTCCCAGCTATTTACATTCACCTACTGGCGTTGGAACCGGAACGCCTCGGGGATGGTTGCTTAAGAGTTACTATTAGCTCTCAAGCAACCAGAAACTACAGTTATCCAGCACCTACCGATCCCCATGGGTGCCCAATAACTGTACAGTAAACTCCATCTTATATGTGAAAGATCGTAACTTGATCAATCGCAACCCCAGGAGCATCTGTACTGTATTTAAATGGTGTGTTAGAGACTTAGTAATGGGAGTGCTTGCACTTTTTCCTGGTAGCAGAGGAGAGGATATGAGGCAGTAGGAGGCTAAATAAAACTGTTATGAAAAATGATGTTAGTCAGTAACAGACGAGTAGTGTATTGCACGCTCCTTGCTCTGGACATTGATTGGTTCAAGGCAGGATCATCTAGGAGCACGAAGTCCTTATAAACTGTATACTTTGTTATTTTGCACTTTCTACCTACCATGATCATTGGATTAATAGTCTCGCTGGTGTTATAGCAGCCACACATCTTGAAAATCTGTATTGGTGGAATGTGACCATTTTAATCAAAATGGTCTCCATGTTAAAGCATATGTGTAGTTAATTTAACAATTTTGAAGGCAGAAGGAGCTACGGGCTACTAAAGCTGGCCATACACTATGCGAATTTCATCTGTTTCTTGATGAACCGGCCGAAATTCGCACAGTGGGTGACACTGTCGGCGCACTTTCCGTCGGCATCCCTCGATCAGCTGAAAAATCTTCGAACGAACAGGGCCGGCTGCCAATGAGCCTGCAGGCTGAACAAAGAAAATATTAGTGCATGGGCAGCTTAACCTCCCTGGCGGTCTGATTATTTCTTTTTTTGTTCTATGTTTTTTCGTTTTTTTTATCCTGCCGGTTCCACCCCCCCTGCGACGCGGACTCTCGCAAGGGACAGAACCCGGAAGCCGGCTTCGGCCGGAGGACACAGCGCGTCGCGAGGGACAAGTTGAGTAACGCTACTGTGTAATCCAGTGTGGCTCGGGGTTACCGCTTATGGTACTGAAAATTAACCCCAAGCCACACTCGGAAATACCGCCAGCAAGGTTAAGTAACTTCTCTAGGATGCGCTTACACAAATTCTTATTTTCCAAAGGTTGGTGCATTTGGGCAATGCTTTCTTTCATTTTGCTATAGCTGTAATTGCCAGTAGGTTGCTTGCAAACCAAGCTATTGTGGTGTGCAGTCAAGAAATGTGGCTGTGCAATGGCTTTCTGAGGTAAACTGCATTACTGCTAGTAACCTTTAATGGTTTTTATTTATCTCAACTTGTTTTATGGGTTGCAGGGTAACCTACCCCCAGACTATAAACTTACACTGATTGATGTGGGCCTTGTCATTGAATATCTCATGGGCGGAACCTTTAGATGCACTTACACAAGAAAACGCTTTAGAATCATCTACAACAATCTTCATGCAGGAAACCGGGTAGGTGTAAATAGGATAACGTGGATAAAATTCATCCCTTTCAATCTACTTTGGTTTCACTGTTGGTGGTTCTTGGAATTAGTGGAAGCCTTACACCATGTGCACAATTATTAGGCAAGTTGTATTTATGAGGATTAATTTCATTATTGAACAATTAGTGCTCTCGGTCAATCCAAAATGTTACAGAACCTCAAACCTGAATATTTAAGAACATAAAAGCGAGGTTTGGGCTTTTCTTAGCAGAATATCTACAGTATGTGTGCACAATTATTGGGCAACTATTAGTGTGCAGAATTATTATGCAACTAAATGGAAAACTGAATTTTTCCCATCTCACTTTTTTACTTTTATCTGTTAAAGTGAGAATAATAAACAAACGACTCAAAATTTACAAATAAACATTTCGGACATTTTCAAAAACAAAATCAGTGACCAACATAGCCCCCCTTCTTTTCAACAACAGTCATCAGCCTTCCATCCATGGAGTCTGTCAGTTTCTTCATCTGTTGAGGATCAAATTTTTGTGCAGCAGCAACCACTTTTAGATTGTAAGCCCTCACGGGCAGGGCCCTCCTTACCATCTTGTCCTGAATTGTGATTGTAATATCTTCCTTATATTGTAAAGCGCTGTGCAAACTATTGGCACTATATAAATCCTGTATAATAATAATAATAACCACAGCCTCCCAGACACAGTTCAGAGAGGTGTACTGTATTCCTTCACCGTAAATCTCCCATTTAAGAAGGGCCCACAAGTTCTCAATAGGGTTTAGGTCAGAGGAGGAAGGGGGCCATGTCATTATTCTTTCATCATTAAGGTCTTTACTGGCTAGCCACGCAGTGGAGGACTCCGATGCATGCGATGGAGCATTGTCCTGCATAAATATCATGGTCTTCTTGAGAGATGCAGACTTTCCTGTACCACTGCTTGAAGAAAGGATCTTCTAAAAACTGGCAGTAGGTTTGGGAGTTGGTTTTGAGTCCATCTTCAACCTGGAAATATCCAACTAGCTCATCTTTAATAATACGAGGCCACCAGTACCCCCACCTCCTCCTTGCTGGCAGTCGAAGTGGAGCTCTGTGCCCGTTACTGATCCAGCCACGGGCCCATCCATCTGGTCCGTCAAGAGTCACTTTCATCTCCGATATTTCAAGGCCCAGTATTGACATTTCAACTCGTGTCTTGTTCAGTGGTAGTCAGATTTCAGCCTTCCTTACCTTGGCCATGTCTCTGAGCACTGAACACCTTGTACTTCTGCGTACTCTAGGTAGGTTGCAGTTCTGGAATATGACAGCACTGGAGGATAATGGGTTCCTGGTAGCTTCACGTTTGAGTCTTCTCAAATCTCTGGCAGTTAATTTGCATCTTTCTTTCTCAACACGTTTCTTGCGACCCTGTCGACTATGTGCAACAAAACGTTTGATGGTTCTGTGATCATGCCCCAATATCTTAGCAATTTGAAGAGTGCTGCAGCCCTCTGAAAGACTTTTTAACATTTTTTACTTTCACAGTCAGTTGGAAAAGAAGCTGCCTAATTATTATGCACACCTTGATATAGGGTGTTGCTCTCCTAAGGCCACACCCTTCCTCATTACACAACTACACATCATCTGATATGTTTAAATCCAATAAGCCTTCAAGTTTATACAGCCTGGAGTTGGACAATATGCATAAAAATGGTGATTTGGTCCAAATACTCACTTGCCTAATTGTGGCAAAGGCAATTTATTTTAGCAATCTGCACCTTTTTAATATATGTGTATTAAACTCACCTGAGTTAGTTTTGTTATTTGAAACTTAGAATTTGCTTAAAAAAAAAGTATACTTAATTATAGATTTTTTATAAAAATATTTGTATGTTCAGGGGGTACAGGGTTCTTGGTTAACACACTTTTGCAATTGCATCCCTAGCGTTCTGGGAGAACCACTTCAAGCAATACACCTCAAATGCGCAAAACTCATGAATCGTTTGGAAGCCGATCAGATAAAAAGGAGAGAATGAGGCACAATCACTTTATTAAAACTGCACAGCCTTACAAACCAAAGGTAATGTGATTTAGTGTTTCGTTTTATTGTGTGCTGGATGGTAGTTTTAAATTACCTATTAAATCTGGAGTATCACATGTGACGATAATTAGAGGTGCACCGAAATTAAATTTTGAAACCGAAGTAAGAAACCGAAACTGAAAATTATTTTTTTTAACCTAACCTTTTGCAATTTTTTCTAAATAATTAATTTTTATTTTTTCCCCCTAACTTTTTTTAAAATTTTTTCTTTTATTAAATTTGTATTTTTTACCTTTTACTGTCGGGGGCCCTGCGAAATATCAGGGGTCTATATAGACCCCTGATATTTCCCTTTTACAATAAAGACACAGATCTCTTTTTCTGCAGCCCCTGTTATGAATGAACAGGAATCCTCTATACTGAGTGCCCCTGTTCATTCATAACTTGTGGCAATAGTATGTTTACTATATCCACAATCATGAATGATTTGCGAATCAGTGCTATAGAGCAGTTCCTGTTCATTCATGATTGTCGACATTGTAAATAATTGAGGACATAGTATATTTACTAACACTCTGACTGTACTCGCTCCATCCCGACTCGCTGTCATAGGAGGCTGAGAGGGCGGTCACAGAAGAACTTTATTGCATTTGACAGCTGACTCCTCCCCCGTACCGCCGCCTCAGCCACGCGTGACAGCTGACGGCTGTCTTGGCCCCCACACCACTTTCCAGCCTGATGTGCCTTTCACAGGAGGCCGAGCGGGCGGTGCAGGAGGAGAGCTCGGCTACCCGTTACAAAGTCCGATGACTGCGCTCTCCTCCCCTCTCGGCCTCCTGACAGTTTCTCTCCTCCCCGCTGGATGCTGCGCTGTGTCAGAGGGAACACAGAGCAACGCCCCTTGGGCAGGAGAGAAACAAGAGATACACCGCCATTTCGGCCATGAAATTGGTACTTTCGGCATTTTGACAAAAATGCAATTTTCAGCCGATTTTATGTTTCGGCGGCTGAAATTTTGGTGCATCCCTAATGATAATGAGGTCTGGCAAACCCCCTGAGTGGGCAGAATAGGGATTCGTACTGAATACGGCGCCACCCTCGTTTTTTCAGATTCTAATTGTTGTAAACAGCTTTACGCAGAGCCTGAAAGGCCAGGTTTTTTTTTTTTTATGAAGCCCTTTTTGCAAAATAGTAATTGAAACATTCCATGATTGGTTGAAAGCAATACACATTATGGTGTTTAACTGCCAGAACCAAAAACTACTCATTCATTATCCTATTTATACTAAAATTAATAATAAATTAACATATTCATAGCAAGCGTCTATTTCATTGTCTAAGTTAATTTAAGATCAGTTGGATACCAAACACCACTATGTTACGAGGTGTAGAAAGCTGATGCGACACCTTGCGCTTTCTGAAGAAGCTATACATGAGATCCATATCATGTGTGATGTCTATTAAATTTTATTTTTATTAAATATTTTAATTTTTTTTACTTTTAGGGGCTTCGGGGAAATATTGGGGGTCTAAACAGACCCCTTATATTTCCCTTTTAAAATAGAAAAAGAGATGGAGGACACAGAGTCCTCCATCTCTTTTTCTGCATCCCCTTTTACAAATGAACAGGAATCCTCTATACTGAGTGTTCCTGTTCCTTCATAACTTGTGGCAATAGTATTTTCACTACGTCCACAATCATAAATGAACAGGAAGTGGTGTAGATCACTCCCATTAATTCATAATTGGGGGCACCGTAAATTATTTACATGCAGTCAGCGATCACTAATCTAGCTGTCGCAGGATGCTGTACCGGCGGTGCGGGAAGGAGAGCTCAGTCTCCTCTGACAGCTGTCTCTGCCCCCACACCGCTCTCCAGAAATGTCACAGGAGGCTGAGTGGTGCGGGGAGGAGAGCCTGGCCTCTTGTAACACGCCGGCCGCTCACATCGCTCTCCTCCCCGCACTGCTTGGCCTCCTCTCGCTAGACGCTGCGCTGTGTCAGAGGGGACACAGAGCGGCACCCAGCGGGGAGGAGAGAAACCAGGCATGCACCGCAATTTGCCAAAAGTGCCATTTTCGGCCGATATGTTTCGGCGGCAGAAATTTCGGTGCATGCATCGCAGAAATGGTGTCCCGGTCGCTTTAAATCAGAACCAGATACCTATCAAGTTTTCTCTCTAACCGAATCTTCCTGCCATGCTAAATTTATAAATAAGATGCTCGGAATACTTTACATGTTAAAATCGGCCTATACAAGCTTTGTACAATCAATCAATAGTTTTTGGCAGATGTAATGAGAAGTTTTAATCACTCCTTTTTTAAGATTATTTTGTCTTAATTCAAAACTTCTCTACACTGCTTTAGCTAGACCCTTTATGCAGCTATGCGGTTTGGAGTATTCTCAGTAATGGTTTGGAAGTCCGTATCTGGACTCTGCTGCCCTGGACCATTTGTTATGGAAATTCGCTTGGTTAAAGTATGTCAAACACAGTTGTATTAAGCTCTTTTGTGCAAGGACTGGAAGTACCCCTGTGGAGTCATGTAGAGTCAGGACACGGGTGTTGCTTTCCTGCTGGTGGTTCCCTTCTTAAAGACTTCAGCACAGGTATTTGTTTATTTTTATAGCTGTCCGACAGAAAGTGATGTCAGGCAGGAAGTGATGTCTCAAACAGCAAACCAGGAAGTGATGTCAACAACCAACATCACTTCCTCAATACATCAACATATCATAGCCAGTAAAAGGGAGTGTATGTCTGTATCATACCCACAAACACAATCTCCCATTACCACTGGAGCGAACCTTATCCAGCACTGCTCAGTGAGCAATGCCCAATAAAGTTACTATGTTTCTCATGAATGCGTGCTTATCTGCAGGGACAATGCCATACCATTTCCAGCGCGCTGATCAGACGCATCAGAAATACAAACGCACGTTCCTTTCATAAAGGCAGATATGTATCTTAAATAATACTATGTCCTCAAAGCAAGTTGTATACACGCCAAACCAATAAATCCGCGCACCGTGCAGGGGCCCTAGCTTGGCGTCCACACACTCGCTAAGAAAACACTGATCCGCCACGCATAACATATCTACTCCAATGGTTTAACCCCAGTGTATATTTAAATCCGGGTCACGTGCCAATCGAGCATGGCCCAGAAATCCAGACACTGAGAGACATGATGACAATATTACAATATACTAAAAACACATCCTAGTAAAATTTTCCACAACACATTGCAGGGTCTGTCTGGAATGCGACCTTTGGGCACTGGGCTCTGCATCACTTTTCAGGTCCCGAGCTGTGACACAGCCTCTGATGTGACCCTGTCTCTGAAGGTTCATTTGTGAGTAAGTGATGTTGGCTGAGCATCAGGAGCTGCTTTTGTTTATTAGAGCCTTTGGGTGCCAATGCTCCACATTTGCGTGAGAGTTATGGGGCTGATGATTGCCTCCTTCAAAGCCTAGAGCCTCTTTGCTTCCTAAGGTGGTTTCAGCATTTAACCTCAACCAGGACTTTACTGCCATCCCACTGTCGAGTTTTAATTTTCGTCAAGAGAAATCCCTTTATTGTTTGGATATAGTTCATACTGTACACATCTACCTTTGTAGCCACTTCTTCCATTAGGAAGACTGATTCTCTTTGTTATCCCAGATTGTCCCTGCAAAAGGGAACCAGCTTCCTGTGCCACCATTTCTCAGTGGATCAGACAGATCATTATTTAAGCCTATGGTTGGGTTCTACCCTTTCTTGTGAAAGCACACTCTACTAGATATGCGACAGCTTCCTGGGCTTTTTTGCAGCAAGAAACCATTTCCCAGGTTTGCAATGCTGCCACTTGGTCTTCTGTTCACTAGATTTTACCAAGATGTTCAGGCCTCATTTGATGCAAGCTTTAGGCATATGCTCCTAAAGGCAGGCGCCTAGGGATGCACCGATAAATAGGCCGCTGAAACATATCGACCGAAAATTGCACTTTTGGCATAATGCCGAAAGTGCAATTTTCTGGCCGATACAGCGGTGCATCCCTTCTTTCTCTCCTCCCTGCTGGGCGCTGCTCTGTGTCCCTAACCTGTCCTAGGCGGCCTAGCGCTGCGGGAGGAGAGCACTGTGTGCGGCCAGCGTCTCTCCTCCCACACCGCTCAGCCTCCTGTCACAGATCAGAGGAGAGCAGTGTGGGCGGAGACAGCCAGCGCTGTCACAGGAGGCGGAGCTCTCCTCTCCTATTGAGGACATAGTATGGTTACTATATCCTCAAATATGAATGGGAAGTGATCTACATCACCTCCTGTTAATTCATGATTGTGGTTATAGTAAACACACTGGGGGGAATTTATCAAAACTGGAGCAGACAAAAAGTGGAGCTGATTTGCACTGCAGCCAATCAGCTTCTCTCGTTTTCCAATCTTGCCCGTGCAAACTAAAGAGATGCTGATAGGTTGCCATGGGCAATGGCTACAGATTCTGTTTGCTCCAGTTTTGATAAATTACCCCCTATCTTCTCATGTTATGAATGAACTCCTAGAGGATTCCTGTTCATTTTTAACAGGGGCTGCAGAAATAGTGATTGAGGACTCTGTGTCCTCAATCTCTTTTTCTATTTTAAAAGGGAAATATCAGGGGTCTGTTTGGACTCCTAATATTTCCCCAAAGCCCCTAAAAGTAAAGTAAAAAATAAAGATATTTAAAAAAATTAATAAATAAAAATTAAATATAAAAAAATTTGAAAAAGTTTAAAAAAAAAAGTATTTTTCGGTTTCGGCCTGACTTTTTTTAAAAATTATTATTTCAATTTCGCTTCGGTTTTCACATTTTCATTTCGGTGCACCTCTGCAGGCGCCAGTTTTTATTTTTTTAGTGGATTAGATGGAGTTTTGTACTCGCTATAAAAAACATTCCTGCTATGTTACAAAACTGAGGCATGCTGGGAATGAGAGCGGTTATACTAGCCTGGTCACTGTTGTTCACCAGTGTCCAAATTCTGCTGTGGGTACTTGTGTAACCCCAGACGTCTCTGAAACCTGTGTCCCTCATTAAACCTCAAAGAAAAAGATTTTACGAGGAGTACAAAAATCCTGTTCTATAGCCCAGTCACACAAGAATGGGTGTGTTGAGGTGCACTGCAATATGCTGCATTAGGCAGCTTATTTAAAGTGCACAATAAAGGAGGTGCTGTGTGCACCTTTTGCAATGCTGCACACAGGACACTGTGCATTGTGCTGCTCTGCAGTGTTTTGGAACGCATGTATGTTTTGAGGGTGCGTTGGGGTGCTATTCACAATTACCACACTGTGCCTTTACAGCAATGTTATTTTGGTTTGAACGGGTCCCAAGTGTGGTAGAACAAGGGGGATAGTGTTTTTAGTACTGTATCCCTCCAATTTAAAAGATAGGTTTACTCTAAGTAGATTAAGCTTTCCTCTTGAAACAAGTTGGCTTTCATTGTCAGTTTTTACAATTTTTTTTTCTTTTCTTTTTATGTGCAAGTTTATTTGCCTACGCTGGCTGTTAACTATGAGGGACAATTTTCAATGGTGGTTCATGAGCAGATGGACTCCTGACTTTGGTTTAAAAAGCCTGCTATGCTTTATCCTTCGATATACACATTGGTTTAATTTTAGATTCATTTAATACTTTTTGGTTCCCTTTTAATATGATTTAGCAGCTGTGCTTCTTTCTTCATACCCTTTGCAAATGCCTCTGCTGTGTGTTGTCTAGCAGGATGCCTCCACAGATGAAGTGAAGAAGAAAAGGGTTAAAGATGAGATTGTGGACATTGATGATCCAGAAATGAAACGCTTTCCTTACCCATTTAACGAGCTGTTAGTTTGGGCCGTTCTAATGAAGAGACAGAAAATGGCCCTTTTTTTCTGGCAGCATGGGGAGGAGTCCATGGCAAAAGCTCTTGTAGCATGCAAACTGTGCCGCTCCTTGGCCTATGAAGCAAAGCAGAGTGATGTTGTGGATGATGCCTCAGAGGAATTGAAGGAACATTCAAGGTATTCTAAATCCTAACTGAGTCAAGTATTGTATTGCAGACTAATGTTAATATATTATTATTTTGATCAGTTTTTTATTAACATACACATACAGAATATTGGAGAACCTAACAAAGTTTAGTCTTACCTGTTTTTGGTAGTGGAGAATACGTTGGGGTAGGATAAGTACAACTTATAAGTGAGGAATGTGGAGAAGATTCTTACTAAATCAATATTTTGATCATCTGAACCCACAGTCACTTTAATACATTTTAACTCACTTGGGTTTTGCAGAATTTTAATTTTTTGTTTTAGCTAAATTAGGGAGATGTGTTTTTATAATATAAATGGCATATCAAGGACAAGAATGCAAGAACAAATATAACATGCTGTTGGTCATTTAAGATTTATTTGAATTTCCTAATGTAATAACATTGGCATAATGTAATCTATATTATGAGGCTATTAAAACCTTAGTGTCGCTGTGGTGACATTAAGAGCTAGCTTTGCGAACAGCCTACTTACTACTGTAGACATGAGTAACTCATGAATTTGTGTTTCTTTTTTTTTCAGTAATCTTTTGACATAGTAAAACTAATGCTTGCTACCTCATAGTTAATTTGGGCTTGTGTTGATGGGGCTTGCTTTCAGATGCTTTCAGTCTGCATTTGAGATCAGTTTGAGGTGCTTCTAAGTAGAGGTGCACCGAAATGAAAATTTTAAACCGAAGATAAAAAAATCAGGCCGAAACAGAAATGTATTTTTTCTTCTAACGTTTTAACATTTTTAAAAAAATTTATTTTTTGTAAACTTTTTAACCACTTGCTGACCATGGTGTTTACACCCCATTCCTGTCCAGGCTAATTCAGTATTCAGCACTGCAGTACTTTGGCTGACATTTATTCAGTCATGCAACACTGTACCAAAATAAATTGTATACAATTTTTAGATTGTAATCCTTCACGGGCAGGGCCCTCCTTACCATCTTGTCTTGAATTGTAATGTCTTCCTTATATTGTAAAGCGCTGCGCAAACTGTTGGCGCTATATAAATCCTGTATAATAATATACAATTTTTTGGGGACAGATGGAGCTTTCTTTTGGTGGTATTTAATATATAATGAAAGTACCTAAAATTTTTAAAGAGAAAAAAAATCTGTTTTTGCTGCATTGTTACAAAGAAATCTTATATTTACCCAAGTTTTTGATAAAATAAAAAAGGTGGGATCATGTCGGGTAAATAGACAGCAAACATGTCAAGCTATAAAATTGCGCACGCCTTGGGAATCGCAAAAAACTACCATACCTAAAATTGCCCATAGGTGACACTTTAACCTCTTGCCGTCCGCCCGTTGTAAAAAACGGACGGACGGCACTGCAGCATTGGCGGGTTGCCTTCTCCAGACGGCATTTTTTTTTTCTGCTCGCACGCGCCCCCTAGCGGGCACGCACGGGCAGAAAAGACCCGACCATTGCACACACCCGTTACCGGGTGTTTCACATAGAGGCGATCAGCGGCTCCATAGCCCGCCGATCGCCTATATGTGCTCGTTCGCGTCCGCCCCCGGCCGCCGGGTTCCCACCCCCCCTGACCCCTCACCTTGAATCCCGGGATCCGCTGCCCCATCTTGAATCCCGGGACCGGCTCGGAGGGCGTCAGGAGGAAGAGGACGGGAGATCAGCTCCTTGCTGATCTCCGTCCGGGCTGTGAATGCAGAAGTGATGTGTATTACATCACTTCCGTCATCAACTGACAATTTTTGGTAGTTGTCACTAATTCACATACCCTGTGGGATCAATGATCCAGGGCCATTGATGGTTTTTTCTTATATAAAAAAAGATCTTGAAGGCACTGAATATTCATGTGTATGTTATATGAATATAATTTATTTATTTGAATCACTTATATTTATTATATTTATTTATTAGAATTATCTTATATTTAATTAATTTTAGGGTTTATGATATTCAACACATTATATGTTGCGGGCGCTGCATAATTTGTAAGTTATTTGTTTTGACCCTACGGTCGATTTTGCTGCAGCCTTCAAACTAAATTGGCACACTAGCACTTATACACTTTTCTAGGTCCAGCGCAGAATCACTTATATCTATGACGGAATAAATGTCAGTTAAAGTAGCGCAGCGCTGAATACTGAAAAATGGCCTGGATGGAAAGGGGGTTTAACACCGCGGATGTCAACTGGTTAAAACCTTTTACCGCTCATCAGTTTAGTGTTATCAGTGATTGATGGCCCTAGAATTATTGCTCTCACTCCGACATCTGCAGTAATGTGTAACATTTGTGGTGTAATCTTTGTTTTTGCACGTAGGCACACCTGACGCATATTTGTTTATATGTGCGGGGGCGGGGCACTTGAAAAAAACACTTTTTTTTTTTTTTTAATGTGACTTTTATTTATTTTTTACTTTTTTAACACATAGGCACCCCCAAAGAAGCTGATGAAGCAGAGATCTGCTTCTTCTCTGGCTATAGCAGCCAGAGAAATAACAGCTAAAGGCAGAATGGATGCAATATACTGCAAATAGCCGCTGTGCAAGTCCCGGGCCCACAGGATAACGTGCATCGGCGGTGGAGGGTGGGGTGAGAGGGAGCTGTGGAGGCAGACGGGGCGGCTGCACATATAAGCGATCGGGCTGCTGTAGAGCGACCGGAATGCTTGTATGTCACAGCCGGTACCGGCTGGTAAAATAGTTTGGAGATAGCATGAGTTACTATGTCCACAATCCTGAATGAACAGGAAGTGATGTAGATCACTTCCCATTCATTCATAACAAGTACATAGTGACTCATACTATATCCAGTTATTTACAAACAGCGATCTGCTGACTGTATGTATACCGCTCTCCATCCTGGATTGGCTGTCACAGGAGGCTGAGCTGGCAGTGCGGGGAGGAGAGCTTGGTCTATTTTGACAGCTGACTCCCTTTTACGTCTCTGCCCTCCACACCTCTCTCCATCCTGATCTTTCACAGGAGGCGGTGCGGGAGGAGAGCTCCGGCTCCTGTGACATGGTCGATGACAGCGTTCTCGTCGTCCTGACAGTTTCTCTCGGAGCAGACATATAGCAGCTCTCAGCAGGGAGGGGAGAAATCACTGACGCACAGCAATTTCGACCAAAATATGGCACTTTCGGCATTTTGCCCAAAGTGCCATTTTCTGCCAAAATTTCAGTGCATCCCTACTTCTAAGGTCATCCAGGGCTTCACAGATGCATTTAAGATGCAGTTGACCTCTTCAGACCTGAATTTGACCTTTTAACCCTTTCACTATCACTGACGTGAAGATTACGTTGGTGGCAGCGGTCCCGTTTAAACAGACTCCCAGTGGCTAACTGCCGGGACTCTGTTTACATTTGTAAAGCCGGCTGCTGACTTTACAATGGAAGCGATTCTAGTGGCTCAGCTGCCGCCAAATCGCTTACACGGTCCAGTAGCTTATTTGGAGTGGAAAGGTGACACTAGGGGTCTATTGGACTCCTAGGGAGCCTTAGAGTACCTGTTACTGCTAATATCTGATCACATTGTGATTAGCAATTAAAGTAAAAAAATAAACTAAAAAAAAGTTTAAAAAATATAAAATAAAATAATTGTTAAATTATTTTTAAAGGCTCCCAACCCCTGCGAGTGTGCATGCAATTATGTAAGCATGCAACTGGTATCACGCTACACATGTTGGATATTGTTGCACATGCCTGAGTGAGATCAATAACTCTAGGGCAGGGGTGGCAAACTCTGGCCCTCCAGCTGTGGTGAAACTACAAATCCCATGATGCCTCTGCGAGTCGTGCCCGTGGCTGTGAGAATCTTGCAAAGCCTCAAGCGACTTGTAGTTCCACAACAGCTGGAGGGCCGCAGTTTGCCACCCCTGCTCTAGGGCCAATATTTATGTGCTTCTCTAAACTGATGACCTGTAGGAGCTTTTAAAGCGTCGTCGATGGACTTTTTGGATTACTGAATGTTGTCACTGCTTCACGGACGCACACAATTTTTAACCTAGGTGAGTTGGATATCTATTTACTCGTTGTAACCTCATCTTTTATATTTAAAAAAAAAATTGGGTATTGTCTTTTGGGGCACTAAATTTAACTTAAGTGCATTTTCCACAAAATTATGGGGTTTGATAAAGCGTTGCGCTAATATCATGCAACATAAAAATTTCACTTTTATTCTATAGGTTCTTGGCTTTCCGAAAATATTTAATGTTTTGGAGGTTTGAAGTAATTTGTAGGCCTAAAATGGATTATAACATGTGCAAAAAACGGGGGGAAAAAAACAAAACACCAAAAACCTTTGGTAGTGGAAAGGTTAAGTTGATTTTACTGCCCCATGTACTTGTATGAGGAAAGAAGCAGTTCTTAAAGTGACACTTAACCTTAAAAATGCATTCAAGTTCCTTTAACTATTAACAAAAATGTATGCTATATGTGTATCACTTGGCTGTAGATCCTCCAATAATCTCTGAATTGGTGCTGACTCTGCCCTTCCTTCTGGAGGGGGGTTACTTTTGTTCCCCATGGTCCCTGTGTGTGTTGTAAAGTAGCCACCGCTCCAAGCTCACTCCTGTGATAGCTAATTTGTACTGGAGGTATAGTCTAACCAAACATTAGATTGTAGTCCATCACGGGAGTAAGCTTGGAGCGGTGACTACTTTACAACACACACAGGGACCATGGGGAACAAAACTAGCCACCCTCCAGAAGGAAGGACAGTGTCGGCACCAATTCAGAGATGATTGGAGGATCTACAGCTGAGTGATACACAAATAAGGGACTTTTTTGTTAATTTTTTGTTAGTTTAGTTAAAGGAGAACTATGGGGTCAGTGTTTTTCCCCACAGTTCTCCTTGGGGTAACGGGAGGACACAAACTAGCATCCTCCCGTTACCCTAAGCTCAGTATACCGCGAGCTACAGCTCGCGGTATACTGAGACGCCGCACTTGGAGCGGATCCCGACTTAGATGACGGGATCCGCCCAGCTGCGTGAGTGACAGCTGGCTCTGCCTATCTAGAGGCAGAGCCAGCTGTACCCGCCCCCTCCCCCGTCCGTGCCGCCAGTCAGCGCTGGCAGATCGGAGCCGGGAGAGGGGAATCCAGCCCCTCCCCCTGTCACGGCAGAGAGCCGTGACAGGATCGAGAGGTGAGGGAACCCGGTATGTTTTCCCTCACCTCCCGATCTACTGAGCCGACCTGTGACAGTCTCATTGTCACAGGTCGGCTTAGAACTATGAGGTGAGTGGAAATCACTTATGTCATAGTTCTCCTTTTAAGGTACTTGAATGCAGCCAACATAGGCCTTATGTAGTGTTTTGGGTTTTTGTTGTGTTGGCATTTTCTACCTTTTCAGTCAGTGTGTGCATAAAGTGCTGTGCACAGCCACCAATGAAATTCTAACTGTGGATATGCAGAAACTAGTTTATGGCAGATGTGACCTCCACAGGCTCAGTCATCCCTGGTTGGTAAATAAGGCTCTCCATTAATTTCATATACATTTTTTGCTTCTTCTAGTGAATTTGGGCAACTGGCAGTAGACCTGCTTGATCAAGCCTTCAAGCAGGATGAAACAATGGCAATGAAGCTTCTCACTTATGAGCTAAAAAACTGGAGCAATTCTACCTGCCTGAAGCTAGCTGTATCATCAAGGCTGCGCAATTTTGTGGCCCACACCTGTACCCAAATGCTGTTGTCTGATATGTGGATGGGAAGGTTAAACATGAGGAAGAATTCCTGGTATAAGGTACTTTTATTCAACCTTTCAAAACCTTTTCTTCAATACTTAAACAGCATAAATGTTGCACTGGATATTTTTAAACTTTTGTAGTTTTTCTGTTTAAATGTAAGCAATATAAACTACTTTTAACTCCAGTCCCTGTGTTTTGTGTTAAAGGTTATTCTGAGCATTTTGGTTCCTCCTACAATTCTAATGCTTGAATATAAAACCAGGGCAGAAATGTCCCACATCCCACAGTCTCAGGATGCCCATCAAATGACAATGGACGACAGTGAGAATAACTTCCAGCAGCTGCCAGAGAACATTGCTATGGTAAGTTACCAAAACAACCCATCATTGTTTTATGGATAAATGAGTGCAGTGCAGTGAAGAAACACATAGGTTTGGTATGTGTAATATAGTATGGTGAACACTGCAGCAGCCTGCGGGGAGAAGAACCCTATGATTCAGGTAAGTAGTGGGCTCAGTGGTGATGCCACCATGTTTCATGTTGCGCACTGAATATGGGCTTAACATGACACATGGTGGCATTGCCACCGAACCCACCACCATCCCACCCCTTACCTGAATGATGGGTTTTACTCCACGCAGGCTGCTGGTGTTCTTGAAATCTCGTGCAGCTGTGCATGGCTCTGCCATCACAGCCATGCCATTCATTCACAGATCCTGGAATGCACCTTTTTTTCTTTATTACATACATTATTTTACACTCATTGTCAACTCTGGGTCTCTGTGCTTCTCTGTGCAATGCAGGCAGATCATTGGTGGTTGGAAGGGGTCTGCAGAGTTCTGTAAGTTGCTTTCTAAATACATCACAGCGCCCTGCCTCAGTATGTTTCCCAAGAACCCTCAGCCTTGATTCAAGCAGTGGGCAGTCTTTCAGGAACGGTAATGCAAATATCAAAATGTAAAACTGGAGGAGTAGGTATTCCTAAACAGACTGCATTGCATATGCAGACTACCCTAGGCAACTCCCACATATGACGCTGAGCCTCCATGATTCAATGTACTGAATTCAGGAATTATGACGCTGATCATCTGGTTGATGAAGAGAAGGCAGAACAGAAGCTAATCATGGCAGGGAATTTGGAAAAGAAAAATTTAGTAGTATCTGATCTGACCAAGGAGTGTGGGTACCGATCCGGCGCTGGGACTGTGCTGGGCCCCCTAGAGGCCGGAGGCCCTGGTGCGTCCGCACCGCCTGCACCGGCGGTAGTTCCGCCACTGAGTGTTAGGAAAGAAGGCCGAGTGTAAGCAGACCATATATCCAGCAGGAAAAAGCGAGAGCCGAGAGGAGCCTGCATAAAGCTGATTGCGGGCTGGGAGGAATAAACAGGAGGCAGAGCAAAAGCTGATTGTCGATAGGGGATACAGGATTGTGATCAGGAGGTGTTTGTGGAACATAGAGCTAAGAAGTGTGTAGTGCTTTTTGCACACCAATATTGTTTTTACTTGGTCCTGTATAAGCATTAATTGAAGCAACATGAAGATTCTTTGCAGTAGATGAATAAGAGTAATGGGGGGAGCGTATGAAAGTGAAGTATGTGTTGCTGACTAGGGGGAATTAAAGTGCAATATGTTAAAAAATTTACACAATAGTTATGATGTTTTCATGTTATGACTATTTGGGATATATGTCTGTGAAAGCATCCACATTTGCTTTATTTTTATATTGTAGAATGTATTTAAGGAGGTCCAGGTTTTTGACGGTGCAGAAGTGAAGAATGAAATTGAGATCCAGACAAGAACTCGAAGACTTCCTATTGCTCAGAAGTTCTACGCCTTCTACCATGCCCCAATTGTGAAATTTTGGTTCAACACAGTAAGCACTGATATCTTAATTTTTGGACATTGCTGTCTTAAGGGTATAAAATTCATTTCAGTACAGCGCTGCATGACGGAATAAATGTCAGTTAAAGTAGCGCAGCGCTGAATACTGAAAAATGGCCTGGATGGGAAGGGGGTTTAACACCGCGGATGTCAACTGGTTAAAGATGTCCCGCAGCAGTTTTTGAAATTGGCTGCGCTTTATGCTGTAATTTTCTCTCCTCATCGATGGGGTGTACACATTACCTCTCTGGCAGTGGCGTAACAATCACCATAGCGACCCAGGCGGCCGCTATGGGGCCCGGGCACAGGAGTGCCCGACCAGGACATTCCTGATGCCCTGCCCCCACGCTGCTGGCTGTCACTGGCAGCTGTGCAGAGAAATGTGCCGCTGTTCAGATCACTGGCCGTGATCTGTGCAGCGGCGCGTTCTCTGCACAGCCGCTGCGGAGTCAGTGAGAGCCGTCCGTGAGAGCCAGCAGCGGCGGTGGAGCAGGCTGGACCCAGCAGCGGAGGAGGAGGGGGCGGGGCCCGGGCAACATGCGGAGGAGGCGGGGCTCATCACCGACGGTGGAGGAAGAAGAGGCGGACAGGTAAGGAGTGTGACCAGCCCACCTGAGGGTGACCCTGCAGAGCCCACCTTAGAGTCTATGGTGGGCTCTGCAGGGTCACCCTCAGGTGAGCTGTGTGGGATCTCAATTGGGCTCGGCAAGGAGTGTAACTAGAGATCAAGGGGGCCCCATACCAAATTTTGCTCTGGGGCCCTGTGATTTCTAGTTACGCCCCTGCTCTCTGGTATATACCTGTAGGAGGTCCCCACACACCTTACGATAATCGCGGGAAATCCCGCGATCGCACGATTATCGTAAGGTGTGTGGAAGCCGTGCGACCTCTAAAACTGTAAGGTCACACGACTTTAAACTTACGGACATGTTCGGAAACCCGCCGAGCATCGTACGATGTTCGGCGGGTTTGTGGCATGTCCGTACGATAACAGCCGTACGGGCCGGTGTGCACACGCGCACACTGCCCGTTCGGCATTGCGGTCATCGGAAGCCCGCCCCTCGGGGCGTGGCTTGCGATCATCGCAAGTACGAACTGCCTATGCAAGATAGGCAGATCGTACGTTTTTTTAAGTACCTTACAACCATCGCAAGACAAAAGTCCTGCGATGGTTGTAAGGTGTGTGCCCAGCCTTAGAAGCTAGGAACAGTTGCTCTTCCAATGTGAGCTATAATTCTGCAGAAGCCACTACTAGTAGTCTTTGCTTTTGTGTTACACTTTTTCTGATTGGTTTAGACTTGCCATATGTACGTACCTTTTTTCTTGTAGTTCCATCCAGCAGCATCTTGGACTCCCATACCTAGACCATTACTGAGATAGAGAACAGTTATTCTGGAGCCTCATCTACATATACTAGGAACAAGTAGATAACTGTGACGATTGTGAGGTCTGACAAACCCAAAACTGAGGAAAGACTGGGGAGGTGATAATTAACACAATTCTGTCTTCATTTTCCCCAAAATTCAAAAGTCATTAACAAGACAGTCATTAAAATCTCCAGTCTGTGTTAAGCAGTCCAAGGAAACAGACGGCAGCAGCTGGCCCCTGTAAGCAGCAGCCAGGAGTCTGGTCCTAAAGGGGTCTTTGGACATTTTTAGTGTTGCACACTATAAATGAGGTGGTCTTGGTGTATTTATCACTGAATTTACACACAATAACACTCTGCTTGTGTTACATATTTTTCTTCTTTCCTTCATTGGAGGACACGGCTTTGAGTCATCATCTGCTGGCATAATGCCACTGGCAGTTGTAGGATGCTAGGTACAACTGAAAAACAAAACTTGGCCCAGGGATGGCCCCTGTTAGTGTCCCAAACTTCCCACTTTGTGAACAAGCTCAATTATTAGCCGAGCGTCTAGGAGTTAAGACACAGAAATTTCCTCCTTAAAATCTTAGTTCTGTTGGTTTTACTTCAAGCAAGTTGCTGGCTCAGTCGGATGATCTGGATCCTGGTAGTCTTAGAATTACAATTATTTATTTATATAGCACCAACATATTCCACAGCACTGTACAATTGTTTAGACAAGACAAGTAAGAAACACTTGAACAAAAAAAGAGAAAAAGGAAGCGCCACGACTGGGGAGAAGAATAGTTGTGGACCAATCAGTGGAGCCTGGTTGGTTGTTGGGAGTGGTCTGACTGGCTTGATGGTGATGAGGAAGCGAGCAGGTGTGCCCGTTCTTAGTTAGTGGTTGGGGATCAGCGGGAACACAATAGGAGAACAATGGAGAGGTGAGAAATCACACATTTAATGAATCAAAGTGTGGAGTGTAGAGAAGCTCGCATCAGGAGCGGGTCAGTCATGCGGTGGAAACCGCTGCTGGTCGTCTGGTGCTGGAGTGAAGTGAGAGGCAGAGCACGGTGTGCGGAGAGAGGCTGGCCGCACAAACGTGGCAGCCGGGGAGAGAGAGCTGATAATTCAAACAGATCTCACATGCATTTTAACACCTAGACACAAACAAGCACTTAACCCCACTGCAAGGTTTAATTTAAAAAAACCTGGAGTTCTTTAAATAATTTACAATGGATGATGCTTGTTTAAAAGTTTTTTAGCTTCCTGCAAAATCAGCTGGTCCCCTAAGTACTGACGGAGCCTTTTTAAGAGTGGCTCCTTTTCCTTGCAGGATTTTATGAAGCCACCGTTGTGTGTGCTAGTAAGCTGTGTGTCTCCACAAACACACTGGCACAACAAGGCAATCCACTCCCTGCTGCCTGCTCCTTCCTCCTCCCTCCCTTTCTTCTCCAAGCTAGTGGAGATTGTGCTTTCCCTTGTGATCTTGCACTGAACAGGAAATTCAGGTAAGTGCAGCTAAGAAACCTGGAACCAGCTGTTTGGAAACATAACTAAGTGTTTCGGCAAAAATGTAAAGAAACACTTTTCTAGGCAATGTATTTTTGTTCGGTCTGCATTCATTATTGAAATAAAAAAAGAAAAGGTTTGAGAGTTTAATACTACAAGTTTGCAAAGTGGCTCTAGATTTGAGATCCTGGGTCTCAAATCAGTTTCTTCTGAGCTCATCCACAGGTTGCTGGGATTGAAGTGTTTATCGGCTTACCAAAATCTAAGAAGGATGTTGCAGTCTGCCATTTACAGGTTATCAACTTGGGATGCAATGCTGGCATTCAGCAAGAACCACATCAGAGAAAAGCACACCTTCTTGCCTCTGCTCAGGAACCCCAAGAAATTACTTCACCAATCTGGGGCTACCTTTTCAGCCTGTTAGCCTTTTTTTCCCCCGTGTGCAAGAGGAAATGCTGACAAGGAGACTAAGTGCTCTAACCCCTCCTACCTCTGCAGGGAATAAGCTTCTCTGGCAGACCAGGCCCTTGGAGAAACCTCTCTCCACATGAAGTGTCGGCCCAGTCTGTCACTAAACACAGGAATTAAATCTTAATGCATTCCAATCCCTTAACTCTCAACATAAATGTATCTTATTTGTGTATCACTCGGCAGTATATCCCCAAATCATCTCTGAACTGGTGCTGACACTGTCCTTCCTTCTGGGAGGTGGCTACTTTTGTTCCCCATTTTCCCTGTGTGTGTTGTAAAGTAGCCACCGCTCCAAGCTTACTCCTGTGATGGACTACAATCTCATGTTTAGGTTGCAAATTTCTATTGAAATTGTAGTCCATCACTAGTCTATCATTTTTAGTATTTCTTTCATATCTGTGTTTCACCCCAATCACAGTGCTTACTTATAAGTGAATGTAAAAAAGAAATTGACAGCATATGAATAAAAAAAATATATACAATGTGTAACTAAAATGTCTTTAAATATATCAATCAAAAGTCCCTAACAGTCCAACAGTGGGATTTATTGCTTATCCACACCACATCAATTTAAAATCCATCGATGATATAAAATCCCAGTTGACACCGAAGTGGGTTCCACACCTTTCACTGTGCACCAATCCTCAGAGAAAACTCACCAGAGATAATGCAACCTTGTAAATATGTATGTAGATCGGTCAAAGCACGGCTCCCAATGTTGATTGCCCTTCTCTCTCCGTACAAATATAGAACAGTAAGAACCTGCCGGACTTTTCAGGTACCCTAGAAATGAGTTAAACATATACCAACATAAAATCACAAATCTTTATTTAATTTCTTAAAATATTCAAAATCTTCATGTCCTAATACACATATATTAAAAACCTAAAAACATGCCGCAACAACTTCTCAAGCTTTTTGCTTGTCACACATTCATCATTGTTTTGGATTTTTTGTGGGGGGTCTTAAACATTTTTTTTTTCCTTTTTTACTTGTTGCTTTGACCAATGTAGATCACAGTTCACCTCTTTGAGCTGCATATGAATGCACAATGTAGAAATTATGTATTTCTACATGATGCTTTTAAATCGTGTTTACAAACACTGTTCCAAAGCTCTATTTTCAACAGCTGCTGCAGATGTGACGCTCAGCAAGTCCCAGCTGTCATTTTTGTTGCAGGCAGGAGTGGCGGGGAGAGTAGCAGCAGGGGTAGAAGGAGAGAGAATGCCACGTACACCATGTGTACTTTGTTTGGTCATGTTTTTGTTATATTGACCTTTTAATTTACTTGTTTATCCTCATATTGGTTAAATATTGTAATTTTTTTTTTCTTCCAGTTGTTCTATTTGGCATTTCTCATGCTTTTCACGTTTGTTGTTTTGGTGAAGATGGAATCCTTGCCTTCGCCTCAGGAATGGCTTGTTATTGCTTACATTTTTACATATGCAATTGAAAAGATACGAGAGGTTGGTGCACTTTTTTATTAAAATAAGGTGCTTATTATGGTTTTGCTTCGATTTTATTGTAAAGTATAAAATGTTTTACACGAGTTGCTTTGGAGGCCTTGTGTTGTCTCTATTTCTTGTGGGTACTGCATGATTATCTACAGTGTAGTTCAGGGCTCGACAAATCCCAGGCACCAGGTCGCCAATGCAATCAGAAATGGCTTTTGCCAGCCTGTTTACTGCACCTCTGTTTCCTCTCCTGCCGCCACAATAACTATGCCGTTCTCCTCCTCGCTGTAGACTCTGACAGCCAGAGGTCTCTCCTCACAGGCTGTAATCGGCTGCAGCGGTCTGTCAGAGGGGACAGATAGCTGTCGCTGATTACTGCCTGTGAGGAGAGACCGTTGACAGTCTGAGTCTGCATTCCCCCATGACGCCGCAGCATCTAGGAGGTAACAGATGGCTGACTTAAGATGTGTACAGTGGTTGCCATTTGCTGTAACATAAAGCGGACCTTTTCATAAAGTAAACAAAAAAATTAAATTGATTTATGTTTTTGCTGCACTACTATGGCATATTTATGTTGATAAAACAAAATTAAATGTTACTGTACTCACTACTTCTGTTTATTGATGATCTGGAATTTAATGTATTCAAATATATATTTGTTTGATGTTCTAGAAATTTGTATTCTTGCAAATACCAAGTAGCTTACTCTTTTCACAATTTCCAGTGCCCTCATGTTCCCAACCTTTAGATGATGTTAAACATTCATGTTTTATCTAAACCGTGTGTCTTTTTTGTTTTTAAATGTAAATTTTGTGTGCACTTTTTTAGTGTATTTTTAAGATTAATTTGATTTATGATTTAGCACATATATCATGGGATGAACAAAGGCAAGAATGCCATCTTTTATTTGTATTGATCTTCTACTTGTAGGTTCTAGGTTTGTTTGTTTTTTCTCTATAAAGTCTATAATGTGTTTATATTTGTGTGAGTTAAAGATTGGTTCGGCAATGAAAGTGAATGATGGATAAAAACATTTTACGGAATACTTTATGCTTGATGTTAACTTTTTTTTTTTTTTTAATTGCAGATTTTTATGTCTGAAGCTGGCAAAATTAACCAGAAAATAAAAGTGTGGTTTGGTGATTATTTTAATATTACGGATACAATCGCCCTCATTACTTTCTTCGTTGGGTGTGGACTGAGGCTTGCATCATACAAGTACGATGTCAAAATACCATCACACCATGACTCAAACTACAATGAAACTGCAAAGGAGCCTGTATTATATGGTCAAATTTTTGTCAGTGGAAGGTTAATTTACTGTCTTAATATCGTATTTTGGTACGTCAGGCTCCTTGATTTTTTGGCTGTCAATCAGCAGGCTGGACCCTATGTTATGATGATTGGCAAAATGGTAAGTTAATGTGTTGCCTGATATTTATAGAATCTTTGTGTATCCAAAACCATATCTGTACAGGAAAAGTGAATATACTTAAAAGAGAACTATGGGGCAAGTGTTTTTCCCCATAGTTCTCTTTAGGGTCACGGGAGGACATATACTAAATTCCTCCCGTGACAGAAAGCTCAGTGAGCGGATCGGCGGCATGTTTCTGCTGACTTACCGATCGATAGAGCCGACCTGTGACAGCTTCTTTGTCACAGGTCGGCTCTAACTATGAGGATGAGTGGAAATCGTAGTTCTCCTTTTAAATTTCTAGTGGCCTTTGTGTTTAAATCATGCCGCTTCACTGCTCCCCAGCAGTTACAGATATTTGAACCTTCCGGTGGGTTGAATACCTTTTTACCTGCCACACACTGTAACGTCTCTTACCAGTAGTATATGTCAGATTTATTTATTTTTGGCGTCATTCTGTTAAACTGCAGATTTGAACTGTTTATTAATATGCCATGTTTTTGGCCTCAGGAGGCGTACTGTGGAGATGTGTACAGTAAGGAGTCATATATGTCTTCTGCTCCTACCTATTGCTTCAGAGCAAATGCACCCCTGTTGAGCTGTTATTCAAATTTACCCCCAAAACCTCCTTCCTCTCTAGAGTATGTCCCATATTTTTTTTTTCTTTTACTTTGTTCTAGCGAGAAACTGCTTGTAAAATTCTTGCAGGGGCATCTTCTGGGAGCCCAGTTCCTATTGGCACCCCCAGATCTACATATCCTAAGAGTCCTTTGCCTACACACAGTGGCAGGGCAGGAGTTGAGGCAGCAACATTGTTTTGCTGGGCTAGATATGAATGTATGCTTGTGGAGTGGGATAGAGAAGAGCAGAGACGGGTGGAGTTCTGCAGTTCAGTAGACAGGGCTGACGATGCTCTTGGGCCATCGGTACTGCAGGCACACTGAGGGGAATTTATCACAACTGGAGCTGACACATTCTGGAGCAGCTGTGCATGGCAACCAATCAGCTTCTCTTTCTTTTTCAAATCTTAACTGAACAAGCTGAAGAGAAGTTGATTGGTTACTATGGCCAAATTCTGTCTGCTCCCGCTTTGATAAACCCCCCCCACTGTGTTTTCAGGCCTAGCAGCTGCACACTGGATTTTTGGCAGATGAACACATATATTATCTATGTTAAACTCCTTTTTTTTTTTATTGGGATAGAACATGGGGAAGTGTACATGTGTTGAAGAAATATATGGATTCTTTATTTTGCCCTGACATACACATTGATTGTGAAGGCATTGTATGCTATGAATGTAGCTTCATTTAAAACGTATTCCACAATGTTTAAACAAGAAAATTTAACTTTTAGTTTTTCTTTCATTTAAGGTTGCAAACATGTTCTACATAGTTGTCATAATGGCTGTTGTGCTTCTGAGTTTTGGTGTCCCAAGACAAGCAATTCTATACCCATTTCAAGAACCTAGTTGGACCCTTGCAAGGAACATTGTTTTTCAACCTTACTGGATGATCTTTGGGGAAGTGTATGCTTATGAGATTGATGGTATGTTTTGGAACATATTTACACATTATTTGATGTTGCTTATTGTCCTCAAGGCTTTGAAGGAAATTGAAAACAGTTGCTTTCATAGTGTACTTCTTCAACAAGTGTGTAGGGGTAGGAGGGTTGGAATTTACGTGTGTGTGTGTATATGGTATCATGTTGCAAGCAGCGTATTGACCCACCACTCATACCCAGAAACACGAGGCAAAGGCATATTCAGAGCTTGCACAAAATGGTGATCTTGATGTGTTTTTTTTTGTTTTTGTTTCTTTTTTTTTGTTTGGCATCTGTAAATGTAAAACCTTGCTTATCTGCTTTTTCTTATGCTTTCCTTTTTTATAGTTTGTGCCAATGACTCAGAAGTCAAACCACTCTGTGGCACAGGAACATGGTTGACACCATTTCTTCAAGCTGTCTACCTCTTTGTACAGTACATCATTATGGTGAATCTTCTGATCGCATTTTTTAAGTAAGTTCTGCAGTTGAGATTTAAGATCACACTAAATACCGTATTTGCCGGCGTATAAGACGACCCCCCACTTTTTGTGTAAAAATATAGGTTTTGGGCTATACTCGTCGTATAAGACGAGTATAGCCCAAAACAATGTTTAAATGCACTTACTAACCTCCTTGGCGGTATTCCCGAGTGTGGCTCGGGGTTAATTTTCAGTACCATAAGTGTTAACCCCGAGCCACACTCGGGATTACAGTCTCTTACCTTGTCCAGGATCCCAGCAGCGTCCTCCATCTTCCGTCCTTCAGCTACTACCGCGCTGAGCCAATCACAGCAGGCTTTGTATTAAAGAATACAAAGCCTGCCGTGATTAGCTCAGCGCTGTGCCAATCACGGCAGGCTTTGTATTCTTTAATACAAAGCCTGTATTTACTGAATACAAAGGCTGCCGTGATTGGCTCAGCGCGGTATACTGTATGTAGCCGAAGCTACATATAGTATACCGAAGTATACCCGGCGTATAAGACGACCTCCGATTTTCGGGCTATTTTTTTTTTTTGGGTCTCAAACCCAGTCTTATACGCCGGCAAATACGGTATACTCCAGTCTAGTTTTGGACTATAGTTGCTCTCCTTATTGGCCTGTACCCCTGTGGTAGATACTGGGTTCTCGGTATTTGCTTAGTGTCCCTTTTTCCAGTGGTTGAAAAGCAAGCTTGTTTTGTACATTTTACATGCATTAGACATGCATGTATGAAGACGCACGTTTTATTGAGCAGATTAAATTGCATTGCACCAATGTGCGCACAGACGTGCAAACTGCATGCGTCGCGTGTTTTCATGTTCTTCAATTAAAGTCTATATGGCCAAATGTGCTGTAATCTGCCTGAAAAAGCACATGTACCTTTTCCAGCGTTTGGTATTTTACAGCTTGCGACAAAACTCTCAGGTGTGAAAGGAGGCCATTGAATTGAATGGGATCTCTTGTGTTGAGAGTTTTGTCGTGCTTCGCTTTGAGCGTCAAAACTAGGGATGCACCGATATGTTGGCGGCTGAAAATGGCACTTTTGGCATCATGCCGAAGTGCCATATTCTGGCCGATACAGCGGTGCATCCATCTTTCTCTCCTCCCCATCTGGGCGCTGCTCTGTGTCCCAGCAGGGAGGAGAGAAACTGACAGGCGGCCGAGCGCTGCGGGAGGAGAGCGCAGTGAGCGGCCGGTGTCTCACCTCCCACATCGCTCAGCCTTCTATCACAGGTCGGCAGAGCGATGTGCGAGCGGAGACAGCCAGCGCTGTCACAGCAGGCTCACTTCAAACATTCCCGCTTCTCCCCCCAGACTGACCGATATCCCTCTGCACTTTTAGGCCTTCAAAGGTGTCTCTGGTCCCTGCTACAGAGCAGTTCCAGGGGGTTTTATTCCAACCTGTTCACTGTTCCAAAAACCAAACGGGGCATTTGCCCTTTTTTGAACCTCAAAGCTTCGAGTGTCTTTGTTCGGGTCCACAAATTGCAGATGGAATCCACCAGATTGGTTGTCTTCCTTCATAAGGGAGACTTTCTTGCTTCCGTGGACATCAAAGATGTTTACTTGCATGTAGCCATCTTTCCAGTTGTTGTTTTTTTTTTGTTGGCCAGTGTCCAATCCTCCTGCAGGCAGCAGTAAACCTTGAAGTTTTAAAAGTTCCTATGCATCTCAATGGACTCCCAGAAAGGAATTTACATTGAGTTTAAAAAAAAAAGTTATATTTTAGTGAGTACAAAAATCCTTTAATTCTGTTTCCCTTTACTTCTTTTTTCACAGTAATGTATATTTACAAGTTAAGGCTATTTCAAACATTGTGTGGAAGTACCAGCGCTATCACTTCATAATGGTGTACCATGAAAAGCCTTTTTTGCCTCCCCCATTGATCATCTTCAGTCACTTATCTTCACTGTTCTGCTTTGTGTGTAACCGAAGAAAGAAGGACACGTCTTCCCATGGACCAAGTAAGTTTTTATGTCTTCTTTTCTGTTACTGTATGCCTCCCTAAATTGCTCCTGCCACCTACATGTTAAAATTATACAAAACTCGGGAGTTAAATCGTAAAAATGCATTCAAGTGCCTTAACTATTAATAAAAAAATGTATCTTATTTGTATGTCACTTGGTTGTAGATCCTCAAATCATCTCTGATTTGGTGCTGACAGTGTCCTTTCTTCTGGAGGGTGCCTACTCTTCTCCATGGTCCCTGTGTGTGTTGTAAAGTAGCCACCGCTCCAAGCGCACTCATGTGATGGACTCCAATCTCATGATTAGTTTACCAATTTGTATTAAGATAAAATATATATTCAGAAATTTCTGCTTACATTTTTACGTTATGCTATGTGAATGAGAACATGTAACAAATGAGAAGTCCAGTCCTGTGAAAAAGAAAGTACACTCTCCTTTGAATTCTATGGTTTTAAATATCAGGACATTATAAAAATTATCTGGTCCTTAGCAGATCTTAAAATTTAGGTAACTACAGCCTCAGATGAACAATAACATATGACCTATTACATGCTGTCATTCTTTATTTTGCAAACACAAAGGTAAAATGGAGAAGCCATGTGTGGGGGAAAAAAATGTATAGTCCCTTACCGCTTCCATGGGAATTAAGAGGCTAAGTAGGGGCCTGGTGCTGGTGATTAAATGCCTTTGATTAACTGATAATCAGAAAGTGTGACCACCTCTATAAATGCCGAAGTTTTAGCAGTTTGCTGGTCTTAGAGCATTCAGGTGTGTGTTAACACAATGCCAGGGCAATACATCAGCAATGATCTTAGAGAAGCAATTGTTGCTGCCCATCAATCTGTAAAGGGTTATAAGGTCATTTCCAAACAATTTACAGTCCATCATTCTATAGCCTCAATGTTATAAAGAAGAGTGTGCCAAAATTCCTCTGCAATGATGTGAGACTGATTAAGCCATACAGAAAATGATAACTTCAAGTTATTAATGTAAAAGGTGGTTCTGCAAGCTATTGAATCATAAGGTGTACTTAGTTTTGCACATACGGCTTCTCAATTTTTGCTTTGTTTGTAAAATAAATAATGACAGCGTAATATGCCGTGGTTTGTAGGTTGTATTTACCTAATTTTAGGACTGCTAAGGAGCAAATAATTGAATTCTATGGTTTTAAGTAGGGATGCACCGGTATATCGGCCGCCGAAACATATCGCCCGAAAATGGCACTTTTGGCTAAATGCTGAAAGTGCCATTTTCCCGCCGATACATCGGCGCATCCGTGCTTTCTTTCCTCCCCGCTGGGTGCTGCACTGTGCCCCGGCGGGGAGGAGAGAAAGTGTTACTGGCCGAGCGTTGCGGGAGGAGAGAGCTGTGAGCGGCCGGCGTCTTTCCTCCCACACGAGGCGTCTCTCCTGCCACACCACTCAGCCTCCTATCACAATCCGCAGAGCGGTGTGTGGGCAGAGACAGCCCGGGCTGTCACAGCAGGCTGAGCTCTCCTCCCTGCACCACTCGCTCAGCCTCCTGTGACAGCGTATCAGAGAGGAGAGCGGGTACAAACACTCAGCGATCAGTGATCGCTGAGTGTTTGTACATAATTGAGGGCATGGGAATGAATGGGAAGTGATCTACATCACCTCCTGTTCATACATGATTGTGGTTATAGTAAACACACTATGTTTTCAAGTTATCATTGAACAGGAACACTCGGAGGATTCCTGTTCATTGATAACAGGAGATACAGAAAAAGAGATGGAGGACTCTGTGTCCTCCATCTCTTTTTCTATTTTAAAATGGAAATATCAGGGGTCTTTTTAGCCCCCTAATATTTCCCCAAAGCCCCTAAAAGTAAAGTAAAATATTTAATAGAAAATTAATTAATAAAATATATTAAAAAGTTTATAAAAAATAAAAATATTTTAAACATTTGGAAAATTAAAAAATAAACGTTTTCGGCCTGGCATTTTTTTTTTTTTAATTTCGGTTTCGAAATTTCCATTTCGGTGCGCTTCGAGTTTTAAGTATCTGGAAATAATAACAGAGGGTGTACTTTCTTTTTCACTCAACTGTATGATTATATGCACACAACCTAAGCCATGTGGAACAAGTCTTAAAGCACATTCAACAGTTAGTGATTCAAGGGGAATGCAAATTGCATTAAGCAATTTGACTGATTTGTCATATGACCTAAAATTTGAAATTATTAGGGAGCAGTCACAATTCTACATATGGGCTTTGCACAGCGTACAAAACAGTGGGAACCTCTGTACATGTGTGAACGAGCCCAAAGACTGTTTTTTGTTTTTTTTTTCTTTCCCCCAAGGTGACTGTGCACTTGTTCTGTCTGGCACGTTTGCTCTTTCTTTAGCACATCTTGGGACTCCCTATAAACAGAAAAATTGTTGTTGTTTTTTTTGTACCTTTTCGTTATGTTGCAGTCTGCATGCATGATTAAAACATAATTGTAAGTAGATTAGCTGTGCATGTGAAATACTGTTTATTTCATGAGTATTCGTTAGAAGAAGCTATATCACTTTACATGGTTGTGTTGAAAAAAAGGTATTCGGTGTGCTGAATAATAAAAAGGAAAAAAACATAAACATAATAATCTCTTGTGGGAAGATATTTTATGCCAGAATACGCATGGAACTCTTGTATAGATAATGCTTGGCATCATTTCTTGAGAAATTTGTCAGAGTATGTAAGAGTATGTTGTATGTCACTGGTTTTCAAGTAATGCCCTGTCTTTGAATCTCCAATTAATAATTCTATTTTTATTTTCTCAAAAAAGAACTGTTTCTAACAGAGGAAGACCAAAAGAAGCTTCATGACTTTGAAGAGCAGTGTGTTGAGATCTATTTCAATGAAAAAGATGATAAATTTCATTTGGGAAGCGAGGAGAGGATACGTGTTACTTCGGAAAGGTAATGCATAACAAAGAGTGCCTCTATAGCCCTGGTGCCCAGCACGCTGCCTGTTGCCCCCATTTTCTGGTTGCTGAGTGTTGAGCACCAGGTAAACCAAACAAAGGGGTTGCCATACCAGTGTCGGTGCAGGTAAAATGTAACTGTACTGATCTTTGCCTACACACAGACTTCTTAAGTGCTTGCCACATCACATTAGAGGGGTCTAAATGGAATAGGTAGCAGAGGCCTCAGTCACCTGGGCTGGCGGGATGTGATCTGCCTGTGTAGGGCCCTGAAGTGTCTGCCCTCCTGAAAAACAAGTGAAGATCTTTATAAAAGTTAAAAGAAAATCACACACAATTTTAAATGCAGAACTGATCTGTGCATTAGTGCCGCTTCATCTTTGCAGTATGTTAAAGCATGCATGTGTATTGTGCTCTGCTGCAGTGTGGGTGCATTGCCCAGCACTGTAACATTGCATTGAGGTGCCATTCAGAATTAATATCACACACGCACGTACACCCACACCCAGAGTCTGGCATGTGTTGAGGTATGCAATGCAGATTTTTGGATACTATGCTATTGTGCGGTCCTCTAACACATCAGGGGCAACACCTGAAGCCCCTGTATTTATCAAATTGACCAACAGTACTCTATAGGCTCATGACATTTCTACTTTCCAAATTCTCTGCCATTTTTTCTTTATTCCTCAATGCAAGAATTATGATGATACATTTATACTGCTACACAATGGTATTAAAAGATGGAGATGAAGGCTATTCTTATGTCACTAAACAGGTTATACTAAATCAAGTATCTTCACATTTGTTGGTAAAAAGGCAGCATTTTCTCTCCCGTTCATTGAAGGACACAGGGAACAGATCGGAGATCATGTACTGTAGGGTAATATCGCCACCTGCAGGAGAAGGACGCTTCTCTGTCTTCGCTGGGGGTTCCCGGACGTGGATCTCCTGGCGTCTTGCCTCAATCGGCGGGTCGATCAGTTCGTACCCAGGATCCTTGGGCGGATGCGGTGGACGCCCTGGTGGCGCCGTGGGATTGCTACGGTCTGATTTACGCTTTCCCTCCACTATATCTGTTGCCGCGTCTTCTTCGCAGGGTCATGGTGGAAGGCGTCCCATTCATCCTCGTGGCTCCGGATTGGCCGAGGAGGGCGTCGTACGCAGATGTGGTTCGGTTGGTGGCGGACGTCCCCTGGCGCCTGCCGCTCCGTCCAGATCTTCTGTCTCGGGGTCCGGTGTTCCATCCGTCTTTACCGTCGTTGGCTTTGACGGCGTGGCTGTTGAGAGCCAGGTGTTGAGGGATCGTGGTCTCTCGGATGCGGTCATTTCTACGATGTTGCGAGCTCGCATGCCTGTGTCACGACGATGGTCTTTAGTTTTTTTGTGCCTAGCGTCCTTCTCCTGCAGGTGGCGATATTACCCTACAGTACATGATCTCCGATCTGTTCCCTGTGTCCTTCAGTGAACGGAGAGAAAAGGATTTTACGGTGAGTACCAAAATCCTATTTTTCCGGTCTGAGATCTGTTAGTGCAATCAGGTGACAATCGTGCAAACGGGCTAATCACACTATTTTCCCTAATAGATCTACCGTCTTTAAAGTTGAGCTTTGCCTTTAAATGTAGCTGTGGGTGATTTAATTAGCTCTTCTACTTACCAGGTAGGACAGGATGATTAGCACAATGTTTTTGAGCCTCCGTGGTTACTTATAATTTTATTACAAATTTAATTTAAGAAACGCACCTTAAAGCCATAATATACATGTTAAACATTGTTTGTTTTTTGCATTGTAAAAAAAGTTTTTATTTTCTAGAGTGGAACAGATGTGTATACAGATTAAAGAGGTTGGAGATCGAGTAAACTACATAAAGCGCTCTTTGCACTCTTTGGATTCGCAGATTGGACACTTACAAGATCTTTCTGCTCTTACTGTGGACACCTTGAAAACTCTAACTGCACAGAAAGCATCAGAAGCTAGCAAAGTTCACAATGAAATCACACGTGAGCTAAGCATTTCCAAGCACTTAGGACAAAATCTGGTGGATGATGGGCCACTCCGTTCCTCCATGAGGAAGAAGCAGAGCATTGGCAATTTGTTTGGCTCTTCATTTCCACAGGGTAGCCCTGAGGCAAATAGTAATTTACTGTTTAATATTTCTTTGAGGGATGAAAGAAGTGTTTGGGGCAAAAAAGTGGCAGAAGATCTTTTGTTTCCGCCTTGTAGAGAAAACCTTAATATTCCAGGGGCTGGTCCATCTGGTGGTGCCTTAGTTTCTACTGTGGACTGTCCTGTAGAACTTCCAAACACACAGGGAGCCCAGTCTTTCATTGAAAATCAAAATCCTGTCAACTTCACCAGTAGTGTGCCAAGCTGTGCTTCACCCTCTGCTACATTTTTTGTCAGCACACCAACCCAGCCGAGCTCAAAAAATCAAGTGGATGTGGCATCAAATTTGGAAATGCCTGTTCAGCAGAAATCTGCTAAAGAAACTGAAAGTGCAATTGAATTTGGAGCTTTTGTTGGTAGGTGTATTTAAGATTAAATCTGAGCTCTAGGCAGATGTAAAGAAAATGTAATATACTTATGTGATGATTAAAACAATAAAATGACAGTTTAAATACCTCAGTATTTCCTACTATCACCTGCATAGAGGGACTTACAGTAGGAAAAGGATGGGCAGCACTTTGAGCCAGTCAGAACTAAAAGGTTTTGTGCAATTGTGCTGTTCAGCAGCTTTTAAGTGATAACAGGAGCAGAGTGCGCTGACCTCATTAATTTGCTGCTACTGCTTTTTTGTCCAATTACAGGCTGTGGGCAGGTCGGTGACCAAGCTGTTTATGTGAGGTCACCAGCCTGACTGTGCTGTCTGACATGATTACAAATCCTTCTGGTGAAAATATTCCGGTTTGTTAAGCAATGTATGTAGTATTTAGGCTTCCTCTTGTAGTGCCTTTTTTAAATTTAAAGTAGTATTAACCACTTAAACGTTTTATTTTTTCAATAATGAATCCAAATCAAATATACAGTACGTTGCCCAGCAAAGTATTTCTTTACTTTTTTGCCCAGGCACTTAGTCTTCATGTTTCTGAACAGCTGGCTCCAACTCACTCAGCTTCCCTGGAAATCTTATCTAGTATAGGATCACAAGGGGCAGCACAATCTCTATTTACTAGTTTGGGGAAGGGAGGAAGCAGGATGGAGGAGTAGAGGGGTGACTTGCACACATAATGGTGGCTCCATAGGACCCTGCAAGGGTCAATGCGCCACCCCAAAACAGGATAGCAGAGCCAGTGCTCAGGGGACCAGCTGATTCTGCAGAAAAACGAAAACGTTTAAATATCTAGGAGCAGCATCTATTGTAAGTGATTTCATTTAGAATGTTCTGGTGGTTGTAGTTTTGGTCTCACTGCTTTTTCCTATTACAGCTCATCAAGCACAGGAAGGAATAGTGTAGAATTCCTTCCTAAGTCTAGGCTCCTCCTAGACCTACAGGCAGCTGTTGTGCTTCATTGTGGTGATTCTGGTCCGTTTTTTAAAATGAGATAAGAGTAACTACTAGAATTATTCAGTGGACAAAAGGGTGTTGTATCCACTAAAGAGACAGCTCTGCTAAACACCTCTTTACCCATTAATATTTTCTTACCTTTTTATCCATTAATCTTTTCTTTGTTTTAGAAGGGGGTTTTTATGGTTAGGAATGGAATTCTGCTCCGCTCTGCTGAGCATTTGTTTCTCTACTCTTGTAGAAGAGTGAGAGAAGCAAGTAAATAACGCCGATGGTTTACTTTACACTTGGAGAATTATTGTATATATGCCTGCCAGGGAATTTGTTGTAATGTGTGCTTTAAAGCCAAATGTAAGTGAAAAAAAGATTGTAAGTAGGTCATGGATGTTGGTGTGGCTTGTCTAAATTGGAATGTTGGTTTGTTTTTTTTCCCTTCAGGTCATAGAGATAGTATGATGCTACAAAAGCAACAGAAGAAACCGGAACTCCAAAGTAAAGGGGAAACAAACCCAGCTCAAACGGTAAACAGGCTTGTTTATAATCTAAGTGCAGAAATGATCCGTGACAACCACAAGACAATCGCCTGCTGAAAACATTAATACCAAGATCATGGCTGCAGCAGCCATAATCTTGGTATAGGCCACTTCAAGACCAGGACGTTTATGAACGTCCCGCAGTCCTGAATAGGTTATTATTCAATCAGTTGGGACTCTGATGCATATATTTAGGAAGCCAGCCAGCAGGTGAAGGACTAGGCTATTTCTCACATCGTTCGTATTATTACTTTTCAGCGTTGCTGGAAGAAGCCCATTATTTCATAACTCTGATTTCTTTCAGACAAAGGGAACTGCAAAGCAAGCAGCAATCTTGAATGAAGTTACTCAAATGAAGTAACTGTTTGTAAAACAAAGAATATATATGGATAATGGGAAAACAGATTTAAATAGGTTTACACATTCTAAATAGTGCAAAAAACACAAACCATCTCAAAACATTCGTTTTTTTAATGGAATTTATTTCTAGACTTGGCTTGAAATTACAAAAATATTTATCTAGGTATGTCCAAGTTCAGTATTGAGTCTGATACCTCTATTTGCTAGAACTGTTTTTTTCTTTCTTTCTTATTCTGTAGCTGGACCCATACCATCCTTCTAGTCTGAAACAAGTAAGATCCTGTGCTGGATTCACGGAACTCAGTAAGATCTCTCAGTCCTTGCGCTTAGACCAGTGTAAGTCCTGTGCACAGGTGGTTTGTTTGTGTAAAGGGGAATGTTCATATGCAGTCACAAGCATTTTTATTCTTGTGTGAGGGATCGCTTGGGCAAGTGATGACATTACCTGAGTTTATTGAGGTGAAAACAAATTTTTAGCAGAATAGGTGAACACAGACTACTAAAATAATCTTTAGTCAAATAACCATGACCACTTTTATTTGGTGCAAACAGAGTTTCAGTTTATTGGACTAACTCATGGCTTTAGAGAAAGGAAGGCTATGACTTCTAGGTCTGTGCTCTCTAGTGCCTCTATGTCCCCACGGTCACTTAGTACAGTACAAGTGGTTTAGAGCTGCAGCTAACTATTATTTTCAAAATCGATTAGTTAGCCGATTATTGAGTTCGATTAATCGGATAAAAAATAAAATACATTTTAAAAAATGGCTCCAGTGATGGGACTACTAGTTTGTATTGAGATTGTAGTGCATCACAGGAGCAAGCTTGGAGCGGTGGAAGTAAATAAGAAAAGAAAAAAAAGTGTGCTGAGCAATACAATGAAATTAAAAGTGTAAAATTATATAGCAATGATTGCAGAATACCACCAGCTATAGAGGGATACAACAAATCTCAGCAATAGTACATTATACATACAGTGAATAATGTACTAATGCTGGGATTTGTAGTCCTATGTATAATATACAGCACAATGTACCAGCTATAGAGGAATATGAATCTCCGCAATACATTATAGAGCACCATGTGGGGGGGAGTGCAGTCTTACCTGAGCAGTCTTCCAGCAACTTGCTTCTGAGATAGGGCCTGCCTATCGGCAATTGTCTTCCCCCCACACCTGCTCCTACTTCTTCTCCCCGCCTCCCTGTGCCGATCGTGGATGTGGGAGGGCGGTGAGCGTGAGGCGGGAAGGAGGTGTGGCGTGTGGATGCCGGCGGGTCTGGGAGCGGCGAGCGTGAGGTGGGGAGGGGGTGCGGCGCGCAACGTGTGTGGAGCCGTGAACAGGGCCAACTAACCAGAAGCAGATTAATCGATGATTGAAAAAGTTGACAACTTTTTCAATAATCGAGTATGTCGATTAGTTGTTGCAGCCCTAAAGTGGTTTATTTTTTTTGTTTCACCAAGCACAATTATATATGAGTACTCATGAAGAGAGAAGGTCACTGTTGTGCACCCTTTGTTCAGTCCTGTGAAGAGATGGTACCTCTCTTTGGAAGAGGCTTGGAGTATGATCATGAAGTTTTATGATCGGCTCTATAAAATGTGCAGAAGCTTCTTAAATTCACATAGACATGAGTAAATTTAGTAGTTGTTGTTATCTTGTTTGCAGCATTTTAAAGTTGCTCTTATTTTGCCTTACCTGGTTCCTTCCTCCCCCTTCATCAATATGCCAATGACCCTTTTAAATTACACCTTTTACATTTTTATTACATGCATTTTAGAACCACTGTAAACTTTAGTGGCTATCAATGCTGCCTCTTGTAATTGGGAAAAGAATATACCTGGCAGTCCTGCTCTACTTTGCTCTGAGTACAGCAGACAGAAAAGCAGTCCAACTACATATAAATCTCTTGTGTAAGCAGCCAGAAAAAGTGCAGGCAGCTGGCGTAAACCTTTCTCATTCTCTTCAACTGTTTCTAAGTTTGTATTGTTGTTTTTTGTTTTTTTTCTCTAGTGCACAGCAGCAGTCGAAGAGCATCACTGACTGAGGAGGTGATTATTGCGGACTCCAAAGAGATTTTTTTTGTAGTGGTTAGGACAAGTGTTCATTTTGTTGTATTGTGATGTATGTTCATCCCAAATGTGCCAAATGCCTTTTAGGGGGCCTCGGTTATGTTTTAATAACCAATTATCTTTGAACTGTTTCATTAAATAGGCCAGGGCATTGTCGGATCTAGTAACATGATCAGTGTGGGAAAAGGTCAAGATAACAGACTGCTCAACAGAGTCCCCTAATTCTGCTAGATCTTTGTCAGCAGACACAACACTCAATGCACTGTGTAGTCCTGTGCTGTTGTCATGTATTTTAAGCATTAAAGTCAGATAGTATGCAGACTTTAAATATATCCATACATTAAAATATTTCCATGGGTCCATCTATGATACATGCTTGTATTACTAAGCAATAGGTTTACATAGGTGCTGACTTACAAAAATAAGTGTGAAGAACATTGGAGCTGTTGTCTGGATCAACCAGGTAGAGTCTTTGCTTCATTTAAAAGGCAGATCCTGACTGGTAGCTAAGGACAATGGCTCCAGTGTTCTGTGTTCCAGTTTTTATCAATCAGTTTTGTAGACTTTTATTTATTTTGTTTTTACTGGTACTAATATTTGTAACAATTTGTTTATTAATAGTCTTTATGTTCCTTTCTCAGGATTGGTTGCAAGCCCAGTCATCATCCCTGGGTAAACCCATGTAAGAAATAATACTTGTCTTACTATACATTTAATTTGTACTAATTTGTAGACATGTATTGTGAAGAGTGATGGTTGCTTTCCTTTACATGCAGTTAAAGTGGGTAGTGTACTCATTTGGGAAACCAGCTTGTACTTTTAAAATTTGTATGAGTTAGGTAAATTACATGATGCATGGATTTGTGGGTACTATTTATCATGGTTAGGAAATTTAGTTGTGATCATATTATCATTTGCATTGATGATTTGCCTGTACATAGACTAGAAAAATGCGGCAGGCAGGACTTGTAGCATGCAGAGACACCAGCAGTTGTATTGTCTGTAACTCCAATTTTTGCTTAAAGAACTCTAGGCAGAATGTAACTTAACCCTTGCAGTGAGGCTACTCTCGCACAGCAAGGGTTAAGTTTGATTATGCCCAAAGGAATTCTGGAAAAAAAAAATGAAGTGACAGTTACCCAGATGACATCACTGGTGTCATCTTGGCAGACTATTTTAACTTGGGCCATTTGGACCTGGCATCGCCCTCATTTAGCTGCACAAGGAAGGTACAGCGGATTCTGTCTTGTGCACAGAAAATCATGTTGTACTCTTGTCAGCCATTTACATTTCTGACATAACCAATTGCAAACAGACTTCCTTAACCAGCATTGTCTGGACCTGCAAGACTGTTTTCTGCACCCAGAGGTATTGCAGGACCTGTCGCAGTTGGGAGATGCTGGATGTGGACCGCCTGGTCTCCGTGTTCACAAACAAACTGGAATGGTTTGTATCCAGGTTCAGGGATATGCTGAGGGAAGCGGTGGATGCACTAGTGGCTCCGTGGGATCATTGACACTGATCTATGTCTTTCCTCGCCGGATGCTTCTTCCTTACTTGCTCTGCAAGATCAAGAGGGCATTCAGGAAGTGGAAGGTGTGGAAGGCACTTTGCTTGGTGCGAGTCTAAAGCTGGCCATACATCATTAATTTTTTGGCTGGATTCTGGGTGGCCCTGTTGGCACAACCCAGCTTGACAAACTTAAATTGAAAAGTCAAAGGAGTCAGGTGGAAAGTTGTCAGCCGAACAGTGACTGCAACCAATCAGCTGCAGTAACTGTATATTCTGACATCCATGGTCGCCAAATTTCAGAATACATTAGCAAGAAGGGGATTTCCTTTATCCACACTGGTATAGTTTATGGGTGAATTAAGTAGTTTTCTTGCGGGCTGAAGGTAAAACTATACTTTGTATTGCCAGCATTAAGACTTTAAACCTGGAGTTTCTTCATGGGACAAATCTTCTTTTATGCAGTTGAGTCTGGAACAATGTTTGGCTCTTACCACTTGAAGGTTCAAGTTTCTGCCCTTTGTGCAGGAGGTCTCTTATGTAACTCCCCCCCATTCCAATCTTATCTGACTTCTTGGGATTTGAATCTGGTTATCTCTTTAGCCCCGTTTGAGTCTGTCTGAGACATTCCTCTCTACTTTGACCCACAATGTTTTACTTTTTTCTATCACCTCTGCGAGCCAAGTGTCTAAGCTGGTTGGTGGCATTATCTTGCAAGGAACCCTTCCATAGGGACAAGGTGGTGTCTTTTCTTCCCATGGTAGTATCTGCCTTCAACTTTTACCTCGCTGCCATTCAGAATTGGAGAGTTGTCTTTGGGGAACACAAGATCTCTCTGGGAAATACTGCTTTGAGTCCTAAATTTTTTTCAAAATCTATTTCTTTTATTGATTTTTCGAGTTTCACAAATCACCAAAACACAAGCATCAAAAACAATTCATACACCTAACACTTAACATAATACATATATTATATATTGTCCCAGTCCCAGCGTTGAGTCCTAAATGTTATACTTCATTCTTCGAGGTGTGCACAAGCTCATTCACCCTTCCTTTAAGCCCTGAGGAAGGGGGATGTGCTTGCCTGGAAACATGTTGGCTGTTTTATTGATTTGAATTGTAAAGAATAAACTCTTTTATGGGCATTGATACTTGATTGGTTGTTCACCTATCTTACGTTTTATATATTTCATCTTGACCAGGACATTGTCCTTCCATTGGGTTTGTCACCTGTTTACCAAAAGAACATTTTTTTTCACGGCGAGTGCAGTTTTAAGGCTTGACATGTTTGCTATCTTTTTACCCAATGTGACCCCCATCTTTTTATACTTTACCAAAAACTGGGTGTTCTATTCTGTTTCTGTGCACTAAATTTAATTTGTGTATTTTATCCTAGAAATGCTGGTTTGATAAACATTTGCGCAAATACCGTGCGGCATAAAAAATTGCAACTAGCATCGTTTTTTTTAATTCTGCTTTCAGAAAATGTATATCATTGTTTGGGGTTTGAAGCTGTTTTCTAGCCAAAAATTCAGATTTTATTGTGTGTGCAATTGGTAAGAAATTGCTTTGGACAGCAAGTGGTTAAAGCAGGCAAGATGGCTGATTCCAGCTTTTTTACAGTGGTCTGTCCCAATGGAAAGGCTTTGGACTGAAATTTTAAGGATTGTGTTTATCTGATGAGCTTCAACATACAACGGACAAGCCACCTCAGGCCCCTCACCCTTTACAACACCTCCTAGCATTTCAAAGAAATAGAAGTGAGAAGAGATATTGACCCTATACCAAGTAAAAGTAATTTCATTTGCAAGAAGCATTTTTTTTTTTTAGCTTTTTTAGCTTTTTTTGCTCTTTGAATGGGAACATGGAACAAATATTAAATATACCACCATCTGCTATCACATGGGGGGCTTGTAAGCCCCCCATGTGATAGCAGTCAAAGCAGTCTAAAAATAATTGAAAACATTTTTTAAAAGTCCCGCGTTTGGGTACAAAAAATTAAAAAAAAGGCCTCAGTCATGAAGGGGTTAAGACATCCTGCAGTGGATTCCAAGAAAAAGGTTTTACTGACAAAAATCCTATTATTTTTTAATTGGCCATAGTTATGTGAACTCTTAATTCTTGCCCTAATCTCTATCTCCGTGCCCTATCTGGCGGATAAGTGAGGGAGATATGGGGCAGTTTTGCCTGACTGCAGTTTTAGAATCCTAGACTTATAAGCTAAATATGAAAAAAAAAAGTATCCCCAGCTTTTCCTGGGCCACACATTTCAGTACTGCAAACATCTGTAACAAATTGTACCAGTGGTAGCCAAGGGAAGGCAGAGGAAATGCAATTTAAGCAGTTTAAGTAATTTCCTGGGACAGTGAAGATAGATGGGAAGATTAGGCTGATATCAATTTCCCTTTGTTGCTCTATATAGGCTATATTATATGATGGGGTGTTTTCTCTTTTTAGGCCTACATCAGAGGAAGATGCTTTGAATGGTGAGTATGTTTGGGGATAGATATTAGTCTGTGTTGGATTCATGCTGTGCTCCAAAAAGGAGAAAAAAACGTTTTTTGTTTCTTAAATAGGTATTGGCTCTCCTTTCAAGCCCATTTCGGACATCAGTTATTGTTATTCAGGTTGGTTATGTGATCAGTGTAAAAGAGCTTTAAGAAAGACGATTTGCTTTTTCAATGTTAACAATTCTTCTTCTGTTCAGCTGTTGAAAGAAACAATCTGATGCGGCTGTCTCAGAGTATTCCTTTCACCCCAGTGCCTCCGAAAGGTGAGCTAGCATATGTTTGTTGCTGCTAAAACAGTAGCACTACCTGCGGTTCAGGACAGGATCTTAAGTTGGTGTAGCCAAAATTATGTGTGTGTCAAGTCTTGCATAGATGATTCTGCACTACCATTTTTCTTGTACAGCTACATCATTGCAGGGCAGAAGAAAGATCATGACAGTTGAGAGTAGTGCTTTATCACCACCCAGAGGCCATATGACACTGTTGCTGTTAAATGTGCAAACAAAAATAGAACCATACCTTTTATTTATTTTTTAGTTAACCAAATCTAAATGTTGGTATTAAATTGGGCAAAACATGTATTCCACACACAGTGCCTGGTGCATCAGATACCTGCACATTAAGCAGTCTTTTTGGTTTAAAGCCAAAACACCTGAGCCCTCCAACGTTAAAAACGGGGGGGCCCTGAAAAACACCACCCTTCCAGTGAAGCATTTTCAATTAGTTATCTAGGGAAATGCAGTGTGCTTTTATACAGTGTCATTTTATACAGTGTCATTTTCCATTTGTTCTGACAAAAATACTGTCCAAATTATGTTTTGAAGAGAATCATATGCTTGCTTTTACACGTACACTCTGTTCATACTCTCTCTGCCATCTTCCAAAGGCAAACTAAGGCGTAATTTTCCTTTTGATTTCCCAATAATCACTTGGGAAGATTCAGAGGGATTTACTAATGTTATTTTATTAGCTACTGATTTGTGATGAACTCGTGTAGAGCTGCAACTAACGATTATTTTCATAATCGATTAGTTGGCCGGTTATTTTTTCGATTAGTCGGATAAAAAAAATACCATCTTTTATTTTGAATAAAATACACAAATGAAGTGTTACAAACGTAAGGTTTATTTCAGAATAAAATTACAAACACAATTTTTGTGGACGGTAGTCATGGATGAGCATGGCGATTGACAGCGGTGACACAGGGGCAGCTGACAGCGGTATCTCCTCCCCGCTGGGCGCTGACTGCAGCAGTCTGTGTCCCACATGCAGCGGCTGTGAGAAGGAGAACGGAGAGCAGAGAAGCAGCCTCATCGGGGGGTTGAGGCTGGAGGGAGATCACGTTACGGAGCTCTCCTAACCGCTGAGCAATGGCTGCAGGGGTCTGTGTCCCTTCTCATCCCTCTGGGAGCAGCGAAGATCAGAAGGGAAACAGAGCCCATGAAACAACTAATTGATGACAACGATTCTCATTATAAATTATTGATCTAATCAATTAGTTTTTGCAGCTCTACAGTCATGATGCAGTCACTTTTGGGCTAGTTCAGCAACATAATACAGGAAAAAAAGCTCAATACCCATACTGACCAGCCGATATCTGCTGAATACATAATTTTTTGCTAATTCAGTGAAGTGAATTGCAGTTGGTTGCAACATGTATTGCACTTCAACTTTTTCTGCTAGCACTGTGTCCTTATTTATTCTTGTCTCTGTAATGGTGATAACCAAGAAATGAGATAAATTCAATGTGGATATATACATTAGTCAATCACTTTGTTTAATAGTGTGGGGAAGGGTTAGAAATGTCATCAAGTTTTGGGGGCATTGAAGATTTCCTCACTTCCTATTCCAGTAAAATTGGTCAGTGAGGCAAGAAGTGAAGGTAAATCATTAAATTGAAGCTTCAGCCAGAAATAAAAAGACAAAACTTCTAGCACGTCTCCACTCTTTCACAAGGTGAACTAAAGTGTTCAACTTCCAATCCATTTGTTTGTTCATTAAAGTAGTGTATAATGTGTACGGTATAAACCGATTAGTTACAGTCAGTATATATATTACAGGTGAATTGGTCACAGTGTATCGCTTAGATGAAAGTTCTCAAAGCATACTGAACAACAGCATGTCATCGTGGTCACAGAGAGGGCTGTGTGCTAAAATTGAGTTTCTGAGTAAAGAACAGATGGGAGGCGGATTGAGACGAGCTGTGAAAGTGGCCTGTACCTGGTCTGAGAATGACATCCTAAAGGCTGGGCATTTCTATATCATCAAGTCCTTCTTACCTGAGGTGGTGGATACTTGGCTAGGGGTGTACAAGGAGGATACCGTCCTTCATCTCTGCCTTAAAGTAAGTGTATTTCCTATGTTTTAATTGTGGGGGGAAAAAGAGCATTGAAATAGACCTAAAAAAGTGCTCTTTAGTTTTACAGAATTTACTTGCAGTTTTATCAATGCTGATATTGACTACTAATCATATACTGTTAAGAAAACCAAAACGTGGAGATTTGCTTCATTAATGGACAAATAGAGATTCAATGTTGCTTAGATAATCGATTATATTAAAGCTGATCTTTGAGCAAAACTATAACCCATTCAACATTTTTAAAACGCCCTGGGAAGCATTTTTATATTGCCCAAGTCTGTGTCCCTTGCCATTGCCGTTTCCAGAGCTTTCAGATACACCACAGTGTAACAGAAGATTGAAGTCTCTGGAACATGACCATGATTTTAGGTGTGTAAAAGGGGCATTTCATTGATTTTTTTTTTATGCC